CAAACAAAGAATTGATGATTCATTCATGAAGCCAGTTAAAAACGAAAACGTGTCCTTTCGAGCAAGAAACTTGACAAAAATTATGGATTGAAAGTTATCATATTTTTTATCTTCAAGAGCATCTTTTATTTCAAATACTGGCTTATTGAACAGATTTTTATTAAAACAATGAAGGAAAGCCTTAGAAGTTTGTGAGAGGATCTCAAAATGTATATTAGTCTGTTTTTCTTTCCACCTCACAGTGGCGATGTGAAATGCTTGCAGCGGAATGATTTAGTCTTGCCTCAAGTAACTGAGGCTACTGAACGCATACAGAAATGAGTTCTAGAGAGTTGGGTCTAGCACTCATCAGGTAGCAGAACTTTCACGAAGAGGTTTACTCGTTAAGAGACTGATAATACAGGCAATACAACATATGACTGCAGCTAGAAAGATTTCTTACATCGCCCCTCAACCCATCTCTCCTTGGTTCTTTGAAAATGCGCTTCTAGAGGCCTGTCATGCATATGAAGTGACTTTCAGCAGAAATTAGAGCTATGTTAGAGCTACTTCGCATTAATGAACTATAAGTTTCTTTCTGCTTTAGCAGCAACATAAATTTCGTTCACTAACGTCACCCAGCTTTGTCTTTCTTGCACCAACAGCATTTCTTCTGGATTGACTACGTTTGCTCTGAATTGACAACATTTCTTCCATTTTCGTAATGTATATAAGGATTTTCGAACTTTTTCCCTGATAAAATATTTACAGCTTTGAACATTTTTGCAAAATCTTTAATTTCATCAATTTCTTTTACCCTTTCGTCTAGGCTTGCTTCCTTCATTTCTATCAGCTTCTTTTCAATTTGATGTGACATCCTATTTCTTTCAGTTTTCATCACTTTTGCTCGTTATTTTTGTTCCCAGAACTGCTTGGTATTTTTTTTGCTTTTGCATGTCATTTGTTGGTGTTGTTCAAAGCTTTCTACCTGTACAATTTATAGGTACATAAATGTATAGGTTTATGTCAGGGCTGTTAGTAGAAAAATAATTCAAATTGCGATCAATGGCGGTGCCAGCTACTAGCCTCTAGAAGAAGAAAGCAAAGAATTTTAGGCCACGCCCTTTTTACCACCAGGAAGCGCTCTCTTACCAATAAAAAACGGCAATTTTACTTGAAAGGAACGCCCATGACTAACTTTTGGTTACGTACGTTGCCAAAATATTACCCCTCCCTCCAATATTTTCTCGTCGAATTTAGACGAAGTACATAATTTATCCTGCTGAGAACTGGGGAACGTGTCCCCCCCAGTCCCCATGGTACCGCTCCTGATTGTAATATAAGCATGAAACTTGATAGAGATGCACAGTTACGCTTAAAAAGATAAGATGCAGATCCCTTCAAAAAGGCCCGTAAATGCTAATTTTAGACTGGGGTACCAAATCTGTCTTTAGGAAAAGAAGCAAGTACCCCATGATTTCCTGTGATTTTTTCCAATTGTTTTCGGTCACTGGTGTCTTGAGCCAATGATTTGACCGAATCCTGTGTGTTCTATGATAAACTGTGTTAACATTATTAACGTGTATGTTTAGTTTAGGTCGCACATTTATTGCTACTTTTTGCCCCAGCTCGGTTTTTGAATTAATGGTCTGTTTCCCTCATCTTTTTTTCAATCTCCGCCCAGTTGGGAAACTAAAAAAGAGAAACGAGGCAAGAAACAGCAACATAGTTACATTTGTCTTTCGTCTCGAGCTCGACGTGCACATGTTTATCTTCGCCTCGAGATACGGAATTAGATTGATCGACAGCGAAAGTATAGACGGAAAGAAAAGTGTGTTTGATGCAAGAAAGAAGTGGAAACAGGGCATGCCACCCCCCCCTTCTATTTTGCAAAACAATATAGCTTTTTTCAAAATCTTTTGTTATGATTACTAAATCTTCTTTGACCCGACCCCCTTTCCATCCTGTGTCGGAGCCCATGGAACACTGACCATTTTTGAAGCATAATAAATCAAAGAATGAAGGATCTGGCATCTCGGAATACGTTGTTGAGAAAAATAAAGCAACATTGTATTTCCCAAATGTATGAATATTTCATCATACATTCATAAGGAGTTATGCCTCAAAATTCTCTTAAGGTTTTACACTTACGGTCGGAAAGTATTGCACCCTTCGCCAACAATGGCCTTTTTTAACTAAAGAAAGTTCAAATAGCTGTTGCAAGTAACAGAAAGTTTTAAGCTGACAGTTTAAGAGGGAAATGATAGAAAATCTATCAAGGAATTGTAGTTAAGATATGAATTGCAAAAAAATTCGAGTTTCTTACAAAAGCACGAAAATTGAGCCTTGCTGATAGGCGTACCTGTAAATTATTTCCAATAAAAAGGTTTTCTTTGCACAAGCTTGGGGGCTATGTTATGGGGTCTGTGTAGCTGTTTCTAAATTCCAAAAATTCCAAGCGGTTTTCTTCAGAAACAAATGCTTATAGCCAGCACCAGAAAAACTAGAGGCATAGTGACACTCTCTCGGGGTCCCCCATTATTTCAACCCTTGGGGCGATGTGCCCTAAAAATGATGTTCAGGCATGATACGCCCTTTCATCAAGCATGCCACGCCCTTTCGTCGGGCATCTTAGCATCACACCCCCTAATTAAAATAGTGAAGTTTCGCCCCTGTGTATGCTTGTTTCTAATTATGGTTTTTTAAACTCGATAAAGGTGTGAAGTTACCTAAATATAATTTGATTCATTATGAGTTCTTTGATACATAATATGATTCATTACCTTTTACCTGTTACTGCTGCTGTTACGGTATGTTATCAACTTCACAAAATGTAATAAACATTTACCATGCTCATTGTTGAAGTAAGAAATGTGATGTTGCTAATAAAGAAGTAATGTTGGGTGTTGGGTATCATCATGTTTGTTACCCCCTGCTGATACAGAAATTCATGTAATGACCCCCCTGGAAGCGTAACAAGGAATTTCGTGAATCATTTGATTCATGGCTTTGGATGAGGGAAAGATTCACATGTTGTTTGTGAAACAAAGATTCACATGCAGAATTCAGTGAAACGATTGTCATAGATAACATGTCATTTCAAATTAATTAAATGCAGTTTATATTGTACGACGGACATTACAAACCGGTGATAATTGGCAAACGGACAAAGTTTGACACGGATAGGTGAACCGTAATAGTGCAGGGCCTAAACAACATCAAACTTACGCCCTTGTCGAAAGTAAACTATGAGATTAATTCAGGATTAGTCAACAAATTTAGAGCACAAAACCTGTTCTGACGAGGATGAGTGACGTAGATGGATGTGGACAGGTTTCTTCTTTGATGCTGCCATTTGGTTTTATTCAATAATGTCGATTGCTCTTTTCAGTTATTTCCGGACTACTCCCAACAACATTAAAACCGTTGTCTGAAATTCGGCCAACCCACAGTTACAGAAAATGGTATGAAAATTTTTTATTTCCCTTTGTTTTTATTTATTTTAAGGCGTTTATCTTCAAGACAGGATTACTTTTGCTTTTATAAACACGTGGAAATCGCAGTGATTTATAAGTAATGGCTTACAACCACTAGAAATCAAATTTTCGGTCGGTCGGAGGTTTTATCACAACATATGATATTGAGCTGAGAACCTATCCAACCAGTCGGCAATTTGATATTCGCAATGGCTGTATTGAAAGCAAAGTCTTCTGAAAACTGTACATTTTATTTTTAACTTGATCACAATTTTGTTTGACTGTTTTCTCAGCCGGACAGGGTAATGACTGTACGCGGCAATTTCCGTCTTAATTTGAATTTAGGCCTGATAATGTCGTTACTTCAAACCATCCTTCCTCAAAAGCGATTTTCTGAAATTGTAACGACATTTAGCACAAGTACATATCGATTTAATTTCGGCATGTTCATCATCATTTCATCCATTTGATCAATTTAATTGTTTTCGATATTTGAACACTTCAGTAATACCCTGTGTTGATTAGACAAGGGAGATGCCATTTCATCAAAGATTTTTGAGGTTAGAATATAATAAGTAGCTATTTCTAGGCTACTAATGGAAAAAAATTAACATTCATGTGGTTTGAAAAGAAATGTGCTAAGAACCACAACTTCAATTTCTTGTAAATCACATGAAAAGCCACAAAATAACTTTTTTTGTTTTTATTCTCAGCTAATCTTTTGCCTGTGTTCGTTCAGAGCAAAGTGCTATCTTGACCATTTACCAAAATTGTAATTTTATGTAGATTCACCAGTAACAAATAGCTTTGGCAGGTCAGGTGTGAACAATTTATTAACTGTGATATGATGGAGGAGCATAACCATAGGGCCTAGGTTATGCCATAGGGCTATAGGGCCTAGTTATTATATTGCACTAGTCACTAGGACCATTATATGTCACTAGGACCATTATATGTCACTAGGACCATTATATGCCACTAGGACCATTATATGTCACTAGGACCATTATATGTCACTAGGACCATTATATGTCACTAGGACCATTATATGTCACTAGGACCAAGGCATTGTAAAGATTTTTACAAGCCAGATTGTTTTATTTATTGAATATATACAGAACTGTAGAATTGTTATTTAGAACTGCTGTTATTGGGAACTGCTCAGGTGGTTCAAATGTTATCTTTTAATACTGGTTATATATATTAGAACTTTTTACATTTACCAGGTTTCAGTTAAATATTAGGTGTGAGCTCACAATACTTATGTAGTCATCAATTTTTGTTATTTTAAAACTAAAATGGAGTTTAATTTGCAAAAATGTTTTTGAAAAAATCATTGGTGTTATAATATATTTGTCTTAATTTGCCTTTGGCTTGACTATATCAATTGTTTACAGTTGCCTATTCTGGTAGATACTTCTCACTGACATGCTAAAAACAAGCCAAGAAGGCATTGAAAATTGGATTAATTAACCTATAACATCAACATTAAAGTGATCTGTGGTTTTTGGAGAAGTTACATAATTTGAGAAGAGAGGTCAGTGATAGTTCTTTTTGGCAAAGAGGGAATCTGAAAAATGTCTCTTTGACCCTGTTTACAGGATACCAGATTGATTTCATATCAGATTAACTGACCCAATCCCATGCAAATATTATGCTACATTCACACACAAAAAAGTATTCATTTTGTATTGGATTCACTCCTGTTCACAGGTTGGTGCAATGCTTCCACTGTGCTCTGAAAAATCTGCCATTGTACTTAGGCAGTTTCATAGCAACTTGTAATGCAGTTTGCTGTTTGGCTCTTTTTTTTGATAACATGCATTCTTTAATGTGTGTCATATCTGACATGCTGATTCCTTTTGCAGTAAATATTTTGATAACAGTTTTGAAAAAATTAATTTCAGTTGCATTTTGCTTTTGAAGCTGATCACCACAAGAAGCATATTTATTATTTCATTAGCATCCAAACTTTTTTGAAAACAAAGCTGCCTTTTCAGATTCATGCATTAAAATAAGTGCTGAAATTATCTGGTATGATTCTATTCCTCATTAAAAGTAGAATGGTTTGACTACACAAAAATGATACAGAGCATCATCTTGTGAACAGAAGACCTATCGGATATGAAAAATGACCCAATACAAATTGAATCTGGTATAATTTGGATAGGGCCTCTATAGAGTTGTTAAGTGATGATGTCATGAAAATCTATTTTAAGAATTTTTGAGTTTTGAACCCATAACCTGAAAAAGCATCATAAAATACCTCTAAGCGTGCAAAGTCAGTTAAATGTGTTACAAGCTGCCTGAAAGATGGCAGCATGAGCATAAGCTTTTTCCCCATGGAAACTCTGTAATTTGGTCTCTGTTTATAGGTTCTAGGAACATAGTCAAAATTATGGTATTCCATCAACAAACTGGATATCTTTCATTGGCCATATCTATATCATCCCAATTTTGTGAAAATTTGACCGACTTTTGCATATTTAGAAGTATTTCATGGTGCTCTATTAGGTCAAAATTCAAAAATTCTAAAAAAAAGAGTTTTATGACCTTGACCCCAGTTTTATGAGTGCTATTTTCCCCACACTGACACTCAGGTTTTATTTAAATGCAATCTCAGTTTGAGATAAAATGGCAGAAATACGGTAATAAAAATGTATTAGGACCGAGATACCAGGGGGCCAAGGGGGGCCTTGCCTCCCCAAAAAAACTTAAGTATTATGATAAAAATACATTTTATGTGAAAAATAAGGCTGTTTTTCACTAATTTATCAGGTTTGTCCCCCCGTCCAAACAAAAAGTTGTATCTCAGTTGTTGCATAATACAACTGTAATAAAACTGGGGTATGACTGTAATACTAAAGTAATAAGACAGGCATACAACTGTAATATGAATGTAATAGGAATGTAATTCCACTGTAATACAACTGGAATAAAACTGGATTAAGACTGTAATACTAAAATAATATAATTAGCATAAAAGTGTGATACAACTGTAATATGAATGTAATATGAATGTAATTCCACTGTAATACAACTGGAATAAAACTGGAATGAGACTGTAATACTAAAATAATAAAATTAGCATAAAAGTGTAATACAGCTGTAATACAAATGTAATATGAATGTAATTCCACTGTAATACAGCTGGAATAAAACTGGAATACGACTGTAAGACTAAAATAATAAAATTAGCATAAAAGTGTAATACAGCTGTAATATGAATGTAATACAACTGCAATATGAATAAAATACAAGTTTTGCACAACTGTAATGAAAGTGTCATATAGCTTGATTAGGACGGTAATACTAAAGTAATAAAATTGGCAGACAAGTGCAGCAATACAGCTGTATTACGAATGTAATGCAACTGCAATATGAATCAAATACAAGTGTAGCACAACTGTAATGAAAGTGTCATAAAGCTCGATTAGGACGGTAATACTAAAGTAATAAAAATGGCAGACAAGTGCAGCAATACAGCTGTATTACGAATGTAATGCAACTGTCATATGAATGAAATACTAGTGTAGCACAACTGTAATACGTATCGTGCTCTTATGGGGAAGGGATCCATTAAAGATGCAGTTTGCAATTTCTAGCTTGTACTATCAACAACAACCGATTCTGTGGTGTAATAGGCTTACAATGTCATTGAGAATGATTTTAAAATGCGTTGAATAGCTAAGAGATTTTAAGCACCGATCAGTAAACGTAAATCGACCGCGCTGACGTGGAATTTCCATGATTAATCGGATGATACTGCAGACCTATCTATCAGGATGCAATTTGATTTTCGTAGCCTTCTGGCTCGCCTTTTTCCATATTTCCCTACAGACGAAATAAATCTATTTTGCTAGAAGTCCGAAAGTATTTTGTGAGTTAAGCTCTTGCTTAAGTTCATTTTATTCCAAGCTTTTCGCCACAGAAAGTCATTTTTGAAGATTTGTTCGACACTTGGAAGGAGCTACCAATCTTCATTTGAGTCGCGAGGAAATCCTAATTGGAGGAGACTCGGCGAACTCCGATTGAGTTCTTCGAACCTCCTCGTAGCATCGAGGTCGCTGTGCATGCAAGCACCTGGACTGTATATATTGCAGACTTAGGCAGGAGCTGCATGGGTTGTTGAGGATGAATGGTTGAGGATGAATGGTTGAGGATGAATGGTTATTGTACGTCTCCCAGTCTTGGTCAATATTTTGGAAACGTAATATCGCCTTCACAGTAACCATAAACAAATCTCCTATTCATTATTTGCAAATTAGTATATGTTTTTCAAATTTAAGTCTTACGATCAAAGAAATGCCTCTGGCAATTAGAATTATGGCAATGAGTTGTTTTGTCAATTTTTTTTAAAGCTGTGTGTTCATGAATTGCCTTTGAATTTGCTTCTGGCCTAAAACAGGGGAAACTAGCGGAAAACGAAATACTAACATTTCTTTATAGAAATAAACAGGTTTAAAGAACAAGAAATAACATTTTTGCTGCAGGTTTGCCATTGAATTAGACGTGCCTGATTAAGCTCTTCCTTCTTATACCAGGTAGCCGGTTCGCAATCGAAATACAAAATTTCGATTGTTATATCTTAACCGAATATTGTGACATAGACCATAGTGCATAGAAACGGCGCTAGAGCTTGTTTCTAAATAATTCCCCGAAACTATTTTCATAGAATGACTTTTCTTGCAACATGTTATAGCCAGCTTTTAAGTCTTGAAATCTTTTCTCTATCAAAATAAGTAAACAACCAGGTGACATCGCTCATTTGTTAACCAAATAAGCAATTGAACCCCAATGAAAGTTTGCGGATCAAGGTAATTCTATTCACAGGCAGCTGATACCCTTTTTGGTCACTGAGAGAAATTGAGAAAGTGGCTGCATGACAGGGTTTTGATGCTTTTGATAGCAAATGAGAATTCCTGGCAGGCCTGTCGGATGATGTAGATATACTTTGAATGTTGTCAACTTCTTTGTAAATGAATCAATCCGTTGACAAATCAGAAACTGATTGTTTTCACCGAGAAAGGTTAAACCGGGTTGGCTGGCTCTGCCTTCGATTAGATGGTTGTCATGACGAGTTTCCTCTGCAAACACGGGGAAGGGTTCTATCTCCTCAATTACGTCACTTGTGGTTTCCTCTTAATGAATGCAATGAATAAGAAGGAAAGCCCGTTTGGAATGCTCGAAGATTTGCGCCATTCAAACGTCAGGTGTATTGCTTTAAAGTGTATTCCTTTTTGGTCGCCTCTGTAGCCGGCTGTTTGGCCATCAAGAGCCATAAGGGGCTAGGGACTGCCGTAGCCGTCTCCCTGGATTCAGAAGTAGAAGTTGCACCCAAATATAAAAAGCATGAGCCGCTATATGCTTTGGGGCCTTCGGGGCATTTGGCCTGTTTCCCCTCCCCTGGGCTGGGGCCAACATAACGTTATCAAATGGTATACTTAGCTAGTAAAATTTAGTTTTCGCTATCGTCAAGGGGTATCGTTCTTGTTGTATAGTAAAGAAATTGAAGTAATGTCTGAGGTATCTCGGCAGTTTAGTACAGAAAGTTGCTCCGTTGATGTGTTTGTTATTCACCCAGTCAGTGTCTTTTCTAAATACAGCTAGTGTCATTGACTGTCATTATTTAAGTGACTTTGCCATTGGCATTAATATAGTTGCATGAAAACATATTCATAAGAAATGACTATGATGAAAATGACTTGATAAGCCTACTCTCCTTTTTATTGCCATGGGAATTTTCGCATGATATAAGAAAGACATCGTTTAATTTGAGATACATTGGACATGCAGCGCTTTTGAAACCAAATCCATGCCATGACTTTAAAGCGAGCTGAGACTAACGGATTTGTCAGTTTGGTGCGAAGCCTAATTTCCTGGGAAACAGAACTCAAACCAAATATTTTGAATTATCCGTCATTATGATGAAGTTTGGAGATCACAAAACTGTTAGATGAAAGTTGTCTTTGTAAACCTTTGTTTAAGCCCATTCTCCAGTGAGAAAAGTCTTGCGAAATTTCGCTGTGAAATACTTCACGCGAAAAAATTCCTTTAAATGCTTTTGTTGACCTCGCGACATTGGAATGTAAAATTTGGAAGCGTGACAAAGGGATATGGACTTTGATTGGCTTCTGAAGGATTTTGCAAGCGAAAAGCGAAAAAAGTGGAACTCATTTTAACTTTTTTTCAGAGAGAAATTCTTCGCGAGAAATCCCAGCAATAGTTCACTGCGCATGCCCATAACGTATTTCGCGCGAGCTTTTTCGCATTTCGCCGATTTTTTCTCACTGGAGATTGGGCTTTAAGATTGTGATCAGCTCTTTGAAATGTTACTGAACGTAAAAGTTTGTCTATAAGGCTAACCTCAAGTAATAAGCTGCACTATCCATATTCATTTTGCTAAACCAGCCGTCAAAACCACGTGAATAATGCATGTCTGGAGAATTTTGCTTGTTACTCCATTGTGTTCTTTATTATAGAATCGAATGTTCTATATCGAGAATACCTGTGATTCCCTCCCTGCGTCAATGTGGATTCTCTTGAAATAATCTTTGAGATTATTGACTACAAAACTTGTTTATTCAGTCTGAATCACTTATAAAAACACTTGTACCCAAACTGAGTTTTCATATTCAATGCATTCAGACTGCTTCAGTTGCTTCAATCCATTTCTTCATTCTTCCTTCATTGCAAGTTTCTGTGTAAAGATTTTGGTTTTGGAATCTGGATCATCCCCCCTCCCTTCCTCCTTCGCAGATCTAGGGAAAATGTTTTCATGAAAAGAGGACGAAATCTATGGTTTGTGAAAGGGAGGGATAGGAAAAGGTGTGAGTGAAAGCGAGGTTTCTCAAAGGCTACTAGTTGCTTAGTAACATTACGTAGTAATTTTAAGTAACGTTGCTAATAATAAGTCACTTGTCTGTTTCTTGTGATCCAGGAGTTTGTTGCTCTAAATACACTAGGTGTTTCCCTCTTGCAATGAACAATGCTTGATATACAGCTTGTCGCTAGTAACCGCACTGTCAACTCAAATTAGCATGGAGCCACGTATATTCCACTAGGGTCTCTAGCTTGAATGGTGAATGAGCTCTGCAACCGAAAATATCAATTCTGCCACCAGTTGTGCTGTACGACAGCCTAAGATAAGCCACTAGCAAATACGAGGTGCAATTTTGATAAGCGACGATGATGGTTGCGTTCTGATTGTTGTTTACGATTTAACTTTGGAAGAGGTGGTCCTTCATGTTTAGAAGGGGAATCGCCGTGGCTGGTGAAATCACGTCTTGCAAGGCGCTCATGCCGATAAAGTGTCAATGTAGGAGTTTGTTGCAATGGTATGACGCTGGTTTCATGAGAAATTGAAGCGGAAAAGGAATCTATTTTGTATCATAGAGTGAGGTTTGCGTTTCAGAGAAATGTTTACTAGCTCAGATAAAGGCTCTTTAAAATCTGCGTCGTTTGCTGAAAAATTGTATAAAAGAAGCTCGATTTACCGAGATTGGAGTAAGTCTACTCATTTACAAGAGAAACAGTCGAGAGAAGGATCATTTGTGGACGAGGAAAAGGTTTTTAATCGCATTCACATCAATTTGACATTTTGTTTTCTATTATAAATTGGATTAATTTGCGCATTTCTGTGAATTTATTTCCTTATTTTTTAGTCTTATATTTATAGTTTTTGTTGGATGGGTATTTTGTTGTATATTTGATTCTCGATGATCGGTCGACTCGTAAGATAGGCGCATGATCGAAAGATGCTCGCGTACCTGCCCCTTCCCACCTGCTAGGGCGTGTACGAAAAGCAAATCCCTTCAATTTCTGCCAATCGTAATTATGCTTAGTAATTATCTACAGTGAATTATCAGTTAAGACTACAGTTAATATTGGTTTTTTATTGTCTCAGCGCACTGAAAGTGGAGAATTGAGGCCTTGCTTTAATCTCCTATCCATACCATTTTAGTACAGTTTGACGTTAATACTGCACACTTCCTTGGTTTTCAAATGAAGTTTTTGTTGAATTTGGAACAGTTGCTATTGGCTAGGTTAATCACCTGATATTCAGTTGTTCCGATCAGGAAAAGAGATATACATCGACGTTTATATACGGGGGTGTCATTCGACGGCCTTTGACCATCTTTTCTATGCAAATAGGTCCACGGGGATTTAAATGTATTGAAGTAATGTATATAATAGTTCATTTAAATCGAAGTTATTTTGAGCTGACTCTTGAGCTAGTAAATCTTTTTTTCACATTGAGCTGTATGTTTTTTTTGGAATCGAACCTGCATTGAAACAACAAAACGAACCTCCAGACTAGTACAATAGTGGGTCGGACCTGGAATTGTGTTTTGTTAAACTGTTTAATTCACAAAAGAGTTTAACTTCGATGATGGAAAGGAAAAACAAATTTTATCCTTAATTTAAATCTCCCGACTTCCGTGAATCGATGAAAAGCATTGCTACTTGACAGCATAGTAATAAAACGGGGGCTTTTGAAAGGTTTTGGTCATGTCTAGAGATAATCATCAACGTCTATGGTACTTGCTGCAAAATGCTCGACCATTCTGTCAAATGCTTTTCCTTATAGGTCTTTGTAAGGATCTTTGACGAAACAGAGTCTTTTATATTAAATTCATCCAATATAATACATTTTTGAGTAATAGCTTACTGATTTATTTTCTCGTAGACGCTGCTTGCCAAAGCCTTGTACGATAATCTTGCCGATGCCCCGGATGAGCTAAGTTTCCGCAAGGGAGACATTGTCACCGTAATTGAGCGCGACGTGGATGGACTAGTCGGCTGGTGGCTCTGCTTGCTCCATGGCAAACAAGGCATTGCCCCTGGCAATCGACTCAAACTCTTTTCATCTCTTGACGACCCTTCAAATACGTCCGGAAGCCAGGGTTCGCTGTCTGCGGAGGAATTTTCAGAGAGTTCTGATTTCACTGATGGTGGAAAACATCCAGGTTCAGAGTACGATGTTCTCCCTGCCCCCGTAAAAGCCTCCCACGGAGAACTCTTTGATTCACCTTCCCCAAAAGCTTTGAAAGATGTCTATTCGTCGCCAAGCAAAATCGCTTCCCAGTTCTCTCAGCTCAACTATGCTACACCAAGTAAACCCCGTGGCAACCAAGAAGATTATGACGTAGTTCCTACACGGCCCAAAATGAAAACTGGTTTGCAAATGAGCCCTGCAGAGCTGTATGATATCCCAAGCTATGCAGTTAAAACATCAGATGAAGTGTATGATTTTGTCCCTAAACGAAGACCCACTATACAATCAACAGGGACAATAGGCCCGAAGTCCCCGGTACCGAAGTTTCAAAATGCATTATCGGCATTTACTGCCATTCCAGATGAGCCAGAGTTTTCAGGAACAATGAAGTTGCAAGGGCATGAGCTGTATGACGTACCAAAACCAAATGCTCACAGTGAATTGTACGATGTACCCAAACAAAAACCAGATACCACTAGCGAACTTTATGATGTACCAAAGCCGAGTAGTGGTAATGGTTTCGAATTATACGACGTTCCTTCGTCTTTAAAAGCGGCTGAGGCAGTAAAAAGAAGTCAGGGAAGTGTCAAATCATCTGGTGGTGATGCGCAAGAGGTGTCTGACCGCAAATCACCCCAAAATGTAGTAAAACCAACAGCGTCAAATGAAGCCTTGTATGATGCTCCTCCATCAAACACTACCTTTAAAAGAAACTTTGATTTATCTCGCTTTCGGCAAGACCTTACCAATGTGGAAGGGCAACAAACAGGTAAAAAACAAGGGAGTGCTCTTAATGACAAATCAAATGCTAGTAATGAAATTTATGATGTCCCTCCTGCATCATTTGCTAGGCATATCGACAGCACAACGCAAGATAAAACTTCGTCGGAACTCTACGATACTCCATCTTTAAAGCCATCAGGCAACAGTCCCTTTGCATCACGTGACATTTTCGTAAACAGGAATGTTTCTCCTCAAGAAATCTACGACACTCCCCCAGCACTGCGCAAAAATGAATCAAAAATGGATGATATTTATGATACACCACCTGCCCATTCTGTTTTGAACCAAGCAGCGACTTCTCCCCAAAAATGGCAATCAGATGCAACAGAAATATATGACGTACCACCGAACCAGAACAGCGTGACTAATGCCAACCAAGCTTTAAAGGCCAGCTTCCATGCTAATGACCAAATATATAATGAGCCTCCCCATCATGACATTTATGATGTGCCACCCTCTGATGGCATCTACGACCAGCTGCCAAATGCTGTCTCAAAAAAAGCTGCAGATGATCACACAGATGATTCTTTGTATGACGTTCCTACGCACCATGATGTGAACAAGGTAATGAGTGACATCAGTAAGTTTAAAACAACAAATCAGTCACTGATGAAGCCCATTTCAAAACGACACCAGACTGGCTCGCGCACCATCAATTCTGACGATGATGATGATGATTACGTTGACTATCAAGATATTTATGGGAAAGAGCCACCTACAGAAATTGTCAAGGAGATCGAAAAGGTACGTGATTCAACAGATTTTCGTACCTAATGTTTTATTCTTTTGTGTAGTTGTTTAAAATTATTTGTTTGTCTGCAAACTGAATTACCCTCGTTGCTAAAGCAGCTTTGCTTTAAGGTGGCAGTATTTAATATGCCACTATTGATGAATTGCTCAGCAACTGCGCTGTTAGTGAGTGACGAGGACGAAACAAATAAATTAATGAAGGGACAAAAGAATAAATCACCTTTTCGTTTACCCCTATGTATGGTCTGCTTCACGCCCTTGTCAAGTGGATCGCTAGTTCCAACTCAATGAATGCAAGCTTAAATCAGTTATCTACTTTCTTCAATCTACAAGTGTAAATTTTCTCGCTGGTAATCAGTTATCTCGCTCTTTATTCTCTATTGATTTAGAAATCTCAGAACAATCCCTCGCAAGGGAATATCTCCACCTCAATTTAGCAACTCCAGCAACAAATTGCGCCTCAGTTTCCATTGATAGTCTGAATTTAAAAGTGGGTTAAAGCCAATCTGGCCAATCAAATAAGGTTAGCCCTGAATTTTCTTTCCCCCCCCCTTTTCCCAACCAGTCCCACTGCTGTAGCTATGATGAATATTTGTTGTAAAGAAAACCTCGGGGAAAAAGCGATAGAGAGGTCCACAGGAAAGAAGGCAATAGAGAGATCAACAGGGAAAAAGCGATAGAGAGAACGTTCAATTTTTGTTGGCTTGTCTTCTATTATTTAGAAAATGTCATCCTTTAGTGAGATAATGACTTTAAACCGATTCTCCACTGACGCTTATTTTGTAGCGTTCGCTAAAGCGTTCATACAAAGTTCCGCTCATTCCAATCTCCACTGATTTCAATCAAATTTTAGCGCGCGCGACATTCTTAGGATAAATGGGGATATATAGGCAAAAGGGAAATCTTAGGACGTGGCTTTCTTTCACGATATTTGCTTATGAGGAGAAGAAAAATTCAGTTATATTTACGTTGGAAGGGAAATCAAGCTTTTAAAAAGAGCACGTAAAGAATGGGTGGACAAATTACATAAAGACATACATCAGAAAGGTGAATGCCAATAAAATCGGCAAGCGGTAAATTAAATTTGGTTGTGGACTAGAATTTTACCTTACTCGTAATTAGCTTACCTGCAAAGTATGTAACTGCAAGTTATTTTCACTGCTACTAAATTCCGGTTGCTATGAGGATGCCAGTTTACAAAGACTTATTATGAAAATCGTACAATTTTATTGTCCTACGTATACTTCGAACTATTTCGCTTCACAAAAAATAGAAACTACTTCAACTATTTGTCAAGCGAATTTTTTTATGCGCGGATGCTTTTCTCGCAAATTTTTTCTTTCTGCAGATGTGTCATCGTGAATTTTTCAGACAAAAAAGCGTCAGTGGAGTTTGGCTTTTAGACAGTTTTTTATCACCATGTAACTTTTTATTGGTAAGCCATTTTCTTGACAGCCATTTTCAAGGGTAACCATGTCAGTTTTTCTTGGTACCCGTGCCCCCTTTCCCAGTGTAACCTTGCATTGATGTTGTGATTGTCAAGTTAGCTTTATTGATGAACATAGGAGAGGGTCATTAGTCATTTTGTAAATGTAACTTTGTAAGCTATATCATACACCGCAGCGCATTTCCTAAGCATCTGCATAAATCAGCATTTTATTTTTCATTCATTTTTAGACTTCTGAAACTTCACCTCGTGTCCAACCCAAAAAGCCCCCTCGCAAGAAGTCATCATTTGATCAAATCAACATGGCTGCTGTGAGGGCACTCAAACTGACCTGCATGCAGGCGTATGATCGTCTCAATAAACTACACCTTGCTGTTGACACTTCAGTTACAGCCCTTGTATCCCACTCGAACGGTGATTGGCTAGAGCCTAGAAACCTAGAAGTTGTTATTGACCCGATTAGAGATATGGCGAACAAAGTGAAGCTGTCGCTGCGGTTGCTGACAGAGTTTGGCTTGGGAGCCATGGTTAATGCCAAAGCAATGAGTTTAGATTCAGAGGCTGAAACAATAAAGAACGACCTCGAACCACTACTTGAGTGTTATTACAAAGTCAAGGTATGCTTGATGCACCTGGATACTTGCAAGTGGTCAGTGCCTAGCGTTCGTGATAACACAACTGATAAATTTTTTGCTACAGTGAATGCAATAATGATATTGGCAGGGCGGGTACCTGAAGCATGTCGCAAGCTAACCTCAACTTTGCACTTTGGTATTAAGACTTTGTTTTTCGAAGATAGTACTGTCCAAGCACCTAGCCAAACTTTGGTGGCTGTTACTGAAAAAGCAGCAGCTCTTACCGTGACTCCACAGTTGACAAAACAGCCCGACCAAGGAAACATGGGTAAAACAGGTACAATGCAAATGTCAGCGACTGTTAATGATAAGAAAGTGAGGGAAATTCTCGAGCTTGATGCACGGCCCGTTTCTGTATGGAAAGACCAAGAGTCAGTATCAATGGACAAGGCCAATGGGGCAGATATGTCGCCCATGGAAATGAAGCAAGAGTTTCAAAGTAGGCGGCAAAAGGGCTATAACTCCACCCTTCCTAGAAGACCCCCAGTCCCTCCCAAGCCAAGCTTACCTGCAAATCGCAGATCCATGGCAGGATTTGTGCCTGATGAAGATTTCTCTAAAAGACCTGCTTTGCCAAAGGCGGACACGCTAGTAACTGATTTCATCACTGAGGATGGTCGAAAGAAATATGCGTCAGACCCATCAAGGTCGCCAGTTGATTTGGAGCATACAAGAAAGCCAGAATGGGGAGGTAGCTGTCCGCAGCTTGATGATCATAGTACCTACGCGTCGCCGCAATCAATGTTGCGTGCAACCTCGAGCGGCACTGCGGCTTCAACTACATCAACTGCTTCTTTTGATAACTCTGCCGATGACCTTGATGCCAATGCCAATTTAAGTAAAATGGCGTCAGACTCAAATTTGTTATCGCAAACAATGCTTCCTTCTCGTGTAACTCAACCGATTACTGCAGCGCATTCCCGCTCTGTTTCCTTGCCTTGGGATGATAATAAAATACCGTTTCGAAATTACGATAGCAATGTTGCTACATTCCAAAATGTAGCTAATGACAAAGGTAAAAGACTTTCCACTTTGGACCATAGAGATACCGAGGCTTTGTCTTTCTTTCTTCAACGGGTCGAATCTCAGTTTCTGATACTACGAGACGCTGTACGTAATCTTACAGAATCAGTTTCTAACAGTGAAACGCCACAGGTTTTCGTATCGCATTCGAAATTCGTAATTTTAACAGCGCATAAAGTAGTCCACGCTGGAGAGGAACTCTGTGCAAAATTATTAAACAACGAAGTGAGATTTAAAGTAAAAAGGGCAACAGCCCGCTTGGCGGACTCAATTCGCGGCGTTGTAGCCGGTACAAAGCAAGCGGCATTGGCCTACCCGGACCAGAACTCGCTAATGGAAATGGTTACTACTGTGCTGTCAGTGGGTGAGTCAGTAAGAGAGGTACACAAGGAGGCAAAAAAGGCCTTGGAGCTGTAAACGTAACTCTACATTTCATCAATCAAATTTAAAATTTTAGTGATACAATATGTTTTACGATTTACCAAGAAGTGACTTTACCATAGACAGCTGCTCCATTTTTTTGATAAACGACTCTTCAATGATGTATTTATAGCTTTACGATCTTTTAGGAGCGTACCGCTTATGGCATTTTAAGACCTCATGTTTTCTACGAATGAATTTATTATTATTTGTCAATTAGATATCGTCGCCAATCAGGTATATAGTCTAAGATGATTGTCTTCCGAAATTCGTAAACTGTTTTGGTAAATTGATCCTACTGCCACTAGTCTTTTCTTCAGTCAATTATTTATCAAAGAAAGCAAGCTTTCCTTTTCAGCCTCAGTTTACCACGAATGCTTTATTTGAAATATTTATAGTTTTAAAAATATATAGTTTCACATTTGAAGAAATAAATAGTAATTTCGAGCATCAATAGCCCAATGATCACGTGATTGAAGAATCACAGACATGTTATATTGAAATCGTTTTACACAAATGTAATGCAGTCCTGTTTAGCCGTGTAATTTTTAGAAGTTTTTATGATTGTTTTTCTATTTTTAATCGATAGAAAGTATGTTTTCAACACAGATTAAATGCTCCAATTCACGTCAGTCTCGAATTTTAAATGCTTTTTTAGTTGACTGACTGTTTCTTACTGAATTGTTGCCGATTTTGTTAGTATCAACGCTTTGAGAAAGTGTGTTTATTACAAGTTTCGATAATTTTTAGTACGCGCATGTATATTCAATTTAGAGTGTAGTATCTCTGTCATTGTCCACTTTCGGTTGTTTGCAATAAGTTACTTCAGTACACGATTTACTTCAGTACACGATTAGTCTGAGCTAAACGAACAGCTTTTGATAAAAGTATTTCATTGTCAATGACCTTCCTTTGTTTGCCCTTCCTCAGTTTTTATGTAGATCAGGCAAATCATTGCCTTCCCTTTTGTCGGTTTTTGGCTCTGATGGTAAGAGCGCATGTCAACGTTCAGCGTAAATGGGGGTACAAAATTTAAAACGTCGGTAAATTATGATTAAATGCAAAATTTAGGGAAAAAGAATGACCAAACGCATTTTGTGAAAGAGTCAGGGAAGGAATAGTTTTAACACCGACATCTGCATCACACGAAATTCAAAACAATTTCAAAGCTCTACTTAACAATAGAAAACTAAACAAAATATTAAAACATCCCAAGCTCAAAGGGTCTGACAATTTAGCAAGCGCATTATTAATTGAATCAAACTTAAGTTTGTAAAAACAGTGACACAGTGACAGTGACAATTAACAGTGAAATAACAGTTAATGTGCCATTCGCTAACTGGGAAAAATTATTTCAAGATTTAGTACAAGAAAAAAGGAGAAAGAATTTTTCTAGGAAAATGGAAAGACACAGATTCAAAAATTTTCAGTTAAACAAACAATCGCACAAAAATTTCGCGCATTCGTTTATGGCACAAAAGAACCGAATCCTGGCATACCGGAGTCTTTTTCATCAAGCACTCTACAGAGCGTAAATTTCGGGCAATATCGTGCCATCTTAAAATTTTGCGCCACCTAAAACTCGGGGCCGGGGCGTGTCATTTTGGTTAAAAAATTAGACCCATCAATCCGCACATGTCTGGAAAATGTGACCCATAATTCCACAAACATATTGAAAATTATACCTATAATTCCGCAAAGCAAATGAAGCTTTTAAAGCATAAAAATAACATAAAAAATATCAAACAAACTTTGCATGTCCTTCGCTCCAAAATCTCAATACTACACATATTTCATACTTTCATTTCTAACTTAACATTCATGCTACAATTTTGCACTAATTTCTCAAATGATATCCATAATTCTGTATGTTTTTAAATGGTACACAAAGTTCCGCACATGTTTCAAGAACTGGTACAGATAATTCCACACTTTCAGAAAAAAGTACCCTCAAATAATGGCTCGTCCCCGTACCTTCAAACATGTTGAGCCCCCCCCCCCCCAGCGAAAATAGATGAAGAGATTTCCTAAATGTTCCAAATGAATTATCAAAGAAGAAATTTTTCCAGGGAACTACTTGAAAAGTTCAAAGACATCGTTGCATAAGTTTATTATGCTATTCAAATTGATTGAATTTTGAGTGGTTTCGTAAGATATCGATGAAAGATGGTGACCTTGTAAAACATAAGACAACGTAAAATTTGCATGGCACTTGCATCATTGCTGAGCTGTAGAAAGAGGATCTGGAAGCGGATAATCAATATAACTTTATCGTTGATATAACATCGATGAAAAAGATCCTAAAAGTGATCCTAGAAATGAATCTAAAACATCGAACATGACTAACCATAGAAATGCAGTTGCTTCGATCAATCAGTAATGCTTGCTTGCAATCGTTGTTGTTGTTATTATTGGATAATTGGAATTATTGAATGCTTGAGAAGAATTTTGTTAGTACAATGAAACAAACGACCATGGACAATTTTTTCAATAGTTCACTTTACTTCAATTCAATTTATCTTATTCCGATTCATGTAGATTCAAGCTTGATTACAATATGGGAAAACTCAATTCTAATGCAATCACTCTTTAAGTCATCAAAAAAAGGTTTACAGTGAGTCATAAAAGATTGAAATATAATCAGCCTTACCGCACATTTCATGTTTTTCCTTAGAAGATTTAAAGGTAGTCTTGCGAGTCCGTCCCCAAACAATAATACCATTGCTTCCAAGTGGTTGTATGAAAGCATTTTATGCATTAACGAGGTGTCTTTTGGTACATCAAATACTTTCTGAGATTTTCCAGTTAGTGTGTTGAATGTAAGCCTTCTATTATAATTTATTATCAATCAGAACACCTAAATATTTAATAACACTTTGTGCTTCAGTTCAGCATCCCATTGTTAATTGTAATGTCCACCCTCTGGTTTGATATTTTCTTTTTAGAAGTGATAATTAAAAATAGCCTTAACTTCAAGTGTTATCAGATTCTCGAGAGACATGCAAAGGCTTGTATCATTGAACAAAAAGATGGAAATTAAAAACATGGTTAATTAAAGTGAACCAATAAGGGGCCTAGGACGCCACATTGAGGTACACCATTACAGATGTATAGTTTCTGAGAGTTTACCCCCTACAACACTCTCTGTTTTTCATTATGAAGATAGAGCGCAACCAGTTTAATGTAGTATTCCAGTTTCATAATATTTCAATATGTGTAAGATAATTTCTAGGTCAACAGTTTTGAAGCTTTCATAAAATCAAGGAAAATACAAGAAAGGAATACCGAAACCATCCGCTGACTTCTGAGTATCTAAATCAAAATTGCACATTATGTCATGAAGACTATGGAACAGTAAATAAATTTTCGTTAGTTGTATATTGAATTAATGTTAACACCACGTTTTCCCCATTTTTAAAAAAAAAACTTTTCAATTGACCCTAACTCGAACATTCGAAATCTCGAACAACTTTAGATGTTGCTTAGCAGGAGCTATGACATTTCGAACTGCATGACGGGAAATATCATTCTCTCCAAGATGGCAGCCAGCATGGACGTTAGTAAATCTATTGACAGCGGAGACCGGCTAGTAAGGTATTTGAACATTTTATCTTCCAGTTGAATCTGGATCAGTGCTCCTAAATTGCTTCATGCATAAATCATATTTCCTTTTCTGAATTTTTGACGGCCATCTTATTCTAGACCCAAGGCCAAGGTCATGTTTCCGCGAAAAATCGTATTGGCACTTAAATTGAATCCAGTCCAACGCATCATTTCTTTCAAATTGTAATCTGATAACCAGCATAAAGCAATTTTCCACCCTGCCTTGATATGGTGTCTGAAACTTTTGCAGGTGCTTGGTTTTTAAACCCTGCTTGATGGTTTTCCCTTTTAAAAGCTTTAATATTCAGGTTTTATTCAGGTATTAAAATTCAGGTTTTATATATAGGACTTTAGCTACCCTTTTAACTTAGCCCCAAACAGTATCCCTTAGTAACTAGTGGTTTCCATAGATTTCTAGAAATATCAGTACATTTTTCTCATGATTGCATTGGGTACCCTCCAGAAATTTTCCTGAAGTAAAAAAACGACGGCTGTTAGGCCTATTGTTCTCGGGGAAATGAGGACAGTAAATAGTTTGCCATTTAACAGATTGCAACGCACAACTTTTGAAAACTCAGTGATTTTCAAATTTCAGTAATAAATTGTATGCTTACTCTATTGTTAACAATTCTAGAAGAGAAATCTAATGCTCCTTTTATACCATAAATTTGTTGTTTGCATGATTGTTTCTGGTTACCAGGAAAAAAATCAAAAGGATGAACATTTTTGTGATTTCTGACTCGATGACGATTTTTAGCCAAAGTGCTCCTCATACTTTTCTTGTGTGCTTAAAAATGATAGACAATATAAATACTTAATTTTTTCTGCCTGAATTGGCCTGTGAACGAGGCTAAAAAACTAGGGGGCGCACAGGTCGGCACTCATGGCAAACCAGTGAAGAAACAGCTATTTCTGTGTTCTAGAAAAACCTGCCGCGAAGTTTGAATCTCAACGGTTTTTCTATCTGCTTGTGCACCCCAAAAATTTTATTCTCAGAGTCACTTTGGTACGTTTTTCTAGCAAAATTAGCCTGTCTGTGGAAGCGTGAGCCAGTTTTTGACCACAAGTGGGGCCTAAAACTCAATGTTTTTGTAGCGATTCGCAAAGCTGCGAAGCCTCTTTGCAGTGTATTTTTCTTCGGCTTCTTTGTCAGGTGAGATGAAAACATAAATCAAAAGGTAAAAAATTGAAAATATTCTCAAAATGCTATTTTCATATATTTCCTACCTTTTTGGAGTGTTTGATACAAAAATATTTCCAGTTATACTTGTTTGGTTGGTTTTGGCGAAAAGCCGATTCAGGGAAACTACAATTTTTTGTAGAAAACCAAAAAATCCAATTATATACAATTCTATTTTATCTTTATAGTGCAGAATTTAATGCTGAGCTTAGAATAAAAAACAGCTCTTCTATATTTTTTTCAAATTTTTAAGATATCATCGATTTTCTCCGATATGGTCAGGGAAGGGACCTATGCTGTCCTGACTTTCACAGTGTAACAGCTGTGAAATGTGTACAATGAATTTAGCATTATGGGTATTCAATTAAGTGGTTATTCAATAAGGCAGGCATGAACAATCCAGAGAGGTACCATGTTTTGGTTGATGTCATATTTCTAGGAAAGCGTTCCCTGACCCTAGGTAACCTGTGATTCGTTGATGCAGTCAAAAAAACTCTTGGATTATCAAAACTGGATTATTTACCTTCGCTATTCAATAAACCAGCATTGGGAATACAAGGGAGATTATGGTCTGTTTTTATGATGAACACCTACTTTGAAGAAGAATGCATGCAAACCTCTCATTTTGAAAGTGACCAGACTGGAAACTTTGTTTCTTGCGTGGACAAGATCCTGTCGAAAATTTGCCACTAGGCGTCTGAAATCATCCACAGTTTGAAATTTGGATTGATAATAATGTAAAAAATGTTAACAAATAGGGACTTTGCACAGCCAATATGCAAAAGTGCGCAGATGGAAAATTTGAGTGTGTGGGCAATATATTGCAGTCTCCAGTCTGGGGAAGTGACCTCTTTGTTGACAAATTTTTAGCCAATGGTGCAGTAGAACAAATTTTTTATTCTTCCTTTAATTTTTTAAATATATTTTTTCTCTTTCTGTTATTATTGAATCAAGGTTCAATTTAGTAGGCCATGTTGAAATGAGTCAGAGCAATTAGCTTGATAGCTCTTTTCATAACTTTCTTTTCCTGTGTCCCAAACAATAATTTTATATTTAAATAATTTTATCGTTCATATTTTTTTACCTTGAATGTTAACTAAATAAATATGTGTATGATATATACACTTTAAGCAGATATTTTCGTTTCACACAGGCGATCACCCTTACCCTCGCCCTCGCCAAGTTATTAATGCAGGTTATTGACCGCCCTCCTAAAAACTTGTGTTGTCCCTAAGAGAAAGGAAGCACACCTAGGGAAAAGTTTGCAACAAATGTCACTATTGTTGTTGTCACTAATGTTCAATTTACATCTTCTGATGGCATCATCAAGCATTTCCCTCGAGGCCTTTTAGCTTAATGTTTTTATAGAATGCCAGTGCTGTCAAATATGGGGCCATCCAGGGGGTAGAAATCCGCCATTCCAGTCATTTTTTAGCCAAAATTCTGCACCTTAGAAATGTTGATAGGACCTTTTTTAAAGATGTTTTACAAGACAACAGATGAAGAATTCCGCAAAACCTTTTTGAAAATTCTGTATCCTGTAGATCATTTTTGAGAAAATTAATGTCCGGCAAGTGTATAGACTTCTGCAATCAATAACAAATTTTCTTCACATTGTTGACATTATAAATCATTAAATCAATTATTTTGGCTAAAAACTGTTAGGCAGATTAGGCAGTCGTAGTTAGATAATACCCTGATTCCTCCTGAAATCACCCTAGTAAGCTGATTCATGTGGGCAGTTTGTCCTCCTTGCAAAAATTGTTTCACAAAAAGGCATACTGCAACTTGCATTTCTGTGGTTAATCTTTGATGTTAGAACGTTGTAAACCATTGTTACTTGTTGCTTGAATGAAGAAATGGAATTGAACTTGAATGATAGTGAATTCTGTTGACATTTGCTTTAAGAACAAGTGACTGAGAAAACCAAGATTTTTCAGGGTGTTTCCTTTAAAAGTTAACATACAATTCTGAATTCTTTTCACCTTTGCAATATCTTTTTATCTGGTACTTAAAATACAGGCCTTTCAGTGGGACATAGGCCATAGGGAGTGCCACACCTCCCCCTTGTAGCATCACTTGTGGTAATGAAAAAACCGGCCATTACCTTAACTGTATGATCAACTACTTACCAAAAAATTGTATTATATCCATAATCTCAAATTATTAGCTTTGGTCGAAACATTTCAAGTGGTTTAGTAGTATATTGGCCAAAAATCTTTTTTTGTTGTCAAAATTGCACTCCTGATTGAAATTTTCAGTCAGGTACAATTTATCTTGCATGTTTGATATGTATAGCTGACTTGAAGCATTGCAAGGACAGACATGCCTTAGCGACGGGAGAAAGTTTATTCCAGACTTAGATTGTTGCAGAAACAAGGGAGAACACAAAGCAGTCTGTTCTACAGAAAGAGAGGATAAAAACTGCCTAACCTTTACAAGAATGGAAAGAATATTGTGGAAAAAAATTTTCTTAACTTGTAATCATGGTGTTCTGAATCTTGTACATCACCATTGCTTTTGCTTGTGGTTCAGCAAGTAGCAATTAGCAAGATGCGCATGTGACCAGTGGCGCAGAGAGGGGGGGGGGGAGGGGGGGCAATTTGCCCCAGGGCCTCGGCCTGAAAGGGGCCCCGAAATCATTCTGAAAATTGTTTTAAAATGTCTTCTTTCGAGAAACTGAAAATGCATTTAAAGATATATTTTGTTAATATCGAAAATGATGGCAGTAATTTAATTGGGTCCGTACACTGAGTCTTATTCGAATTTAAGGCCTATCAGCTTCATTTATCGAGTCTGGGGCCCCACGAAAAGCTGAATAAACCTTAGATCACATATTTTACGGATTCATCTTTTTTAGCTGAGTTTCCCTGAGTTTCGCAAAATCGTACTTATTGGGGGAAGGGAGCCCTGATAAAAAATTAGGTAACCCACATAATCTTGTTTTAATCTATGGCCCGTTCAAGTGAGTTATTTTTGCATTTAGACTCGTTGCATAAAGCTATATTATATTTTTGGGGCCCCTTTAAGCAAACTAGCATTAATAAAGAACCGCTTACGTTCAACGATGACTCAAGACAGACTATCAAGCCTCGTGACTCTATTGATCGACCAAGAACTAGAAAGACAAATTGATTACGACAATATCATTGATCAATTTGCAACTGAAAAAGCAAACTTGCGCAAACGTTTGAAAATAATGGGCGTTTCCCATTTTATAAAGGGCGTGGCCTCGAAAATTTTTTGTATCCGACTCTAGGGCCCCAACCGGGACTTTGCCCCAGGGCCCAGGCTGCCTCTCGGCGGCCCTGCATGTGACTACTTGATGGTGTCCTTTGAAGGGGGCGTTTGTGATCAAGTAATTTTAACAGATACGTTTGCTCTAATCTGTACAGTGGGTTTTTGAAGTTCAAAGGTAGACAGATATTTTTGCAAGAATTATGGGAAGAACGTGTGTTTTGGGTACATATAAATGTGGTTTAGGGCAAATCAGGAAGTTGTTAGTCAGGGGGTGGCAACATATTGAAATACTGAAGCCTTGACCAACTTTTTAGTTTTAGCACACAAAGGGTGGCAATGTTTTAGAAAGGAAACCTCATGATCTTTTAATGAGGCTTTAAAAGTTGAATTATTTGTTGTTAGTTACATTTTGTTTCGGTTTTTAATGCTTTCGGTTTAAGTGCTAGTCCAGATGTGGTAAAACCAGGTCAGTAAAACTGGATTAAAGTTACTGTGGGTAATAGTCTATTATGTTTGTTTTAATTTAGTTGCAATGCAGAGGTCCTGAGCTGAAAAGGTTTCTTTTTGTATAGCTTATATGGAAATTTTGTTTTTTATAATTATAGATTTGTTTGATAAATGGGTTCCAGCACTAGTTACTTGTTATTGCGGTTTTGTGTTGAAGAACCTTCCCACTTAATACGTGCCTGCCCTGGCCCTGTTCAACTGGAAGTCTTAAAATGTACTTTTTATATTGTCTTTGTCAATATGTGTGATATTTTATTTTGTAGAATGGAGAGTCCCTTTGAAGATGATGATGTAGAGGACATGGATTTTAGTATTTCAAGTAAAGATAAAAAGAAAAGGAAGAAACATAAAAAACACGGGAAGCAAAAAAAATCTGCAAGATCAGAAGATGGTCACAGAAAAAATAAGCACAAAAAACATAAGTCCAAGAAAGTTGATTCATTGGATGATGTAGATTTAGAAGACTTAGAAGAGAGGAAGAAAATTTTGCAAAGACAGCTGGAAGAAGCAAGTAGTAAATCTGGTGGCTTAAAGAAAACTTTGCCAGAAAATACAGAAAGAAGTAAAAAAAGGAAAGATAAAACTGTAAAAGATGAATTTGGGAGAGACATTTTTGATGGAAAAGATACACATTTACAGTTACTTTCAAAAGAAAGAAAGAGTCATGATCATAGTAACAATTTACGCAGGGGATCAAAGGAGGAATATGAAAGACGAAGCTCAAGCTCACACAGGAGAACTGATGATAGAAGACCTGAAGATCAGTCTTCACGTCATGTTCTAAGTGCAAGTAGGGACCAAAGAAGGAGATCAAGGAGTTTGGAAAAAGAGAGGTCCATATCAGCAAGAAACGATTCTAGCAGACACAGAAGTTTTACAGAAAGGTCAACTGACAGAGAAAGGAGACATATGAGTCACAGAAGCCGGTCGGCAGAAAGAAGAGATGCAAGCAGATCAGGACCAAGACGAACCCGGAGCAGGTCAAAAGACCATGACTACAGAAACAGAGGAAGGCATGAGAGGGATGGTCGTGGCAGAAGAAACAAAGAAGCAAAAAAGGAAGAATTGAAGGAATCCTCAGACGAAGAGTTAGTATTTTACTCTGAATTTTGTTTTTATTTATTTCTAATGAGAAAGCCACGTTTAATCAGCACACTGGCATAGTTTTAGACGTGTTGTGGCTTCAATTAACCCAGGATGTGGATTTCCATTTGAATTTTGTAAGGCCAAGATTTCCCTGTCATTAAAACATATCTTTTAATTGCAATGTTTATGCTTGTATAAACAGGCGGGTGCATTAAGTGTTGCTGGTAGAAATTTATTGGATTTTAGTAAGCAGCATACTTAGATGGATGTAATATTACTTTTGTAATCTTGTTGACAAGGAGCGTCAGTATGGATGTTGTCTTGCTTGTATGCTAACTGATATTTTCTTTCAGCTTGGGATGTCTCTAACATTATAATTTCGCTTTGTTTAAAGTCTGTTTATACTATTGCGCAGCGTAAATCTTGATGAGCTAGCTGAGCAAATGGAATTAGATGAAGAAGAAGTTATAAAGCGACAAAGAGAAGCACGCCAGGCCAGAATTGCCCAGCTGGTAGGGCCAGAGAAGAATCTCGAGAGCCCATCTGTTAACGCAAACCGAAGTTTTAGCGAATCAGATGGAACATCTTCGGATGATGAAAGTGACCAAAGCAGCTCATCTTCTGACAGCCAATCATCTTCCTTGGAATCAGGCTGGTCAGAAGACTCAGAAAGACGTGCGAAGGGTACGAACAATAAATTAAAGGACAAATTGGGCGCAGGAAAACAAGCCAAGAGACATGTAAGGGATGAAAAAAATGAAAATATTAAATCTAGAATTGAACTGGACGAGCTAAAGAGAAGCGAAAGGAAAAATTATAAAGAAAATAGTTCGAAAAAAGGAAATGAAAAGTATTCAAAAGGAGATGCGAAAAGAGCATCAGCTTCTGAGAAAACTTCGGCGAAAAGTTCTTTAAACAAACATCCTGATGCAATGTCACGGAAAAGAAGAGGAAATGAAAGTAATGATGCTGAAAGGGCTGCGAAGAAGCTAGCAGGGGAAGATGACAGGGAAAAAGAAATAAAGGAAATACTGGAGCATAGAGCAAACATCGCTGGGCAGAAAAAACTGACAATGGAGAAAGAGGTAAAGGCTGATTCAGGTGATGAAGCATCAAGGTCACTGGATATGTTTGCAGGAGACGAGGCGTTTGCAGGCAATGATATGTTCTCAGATAATTTTGACGTGAGTTTCTTCTCACTAATCTCATAGAGCTTATTTTTAAGCTTATCAATAGCTTGGCTGTACTGCCATTCGCAACAACTTTATATACTAAGCTAATGTGAATATTTTCGATGCACAATCTTTGACCGTTTCTTATGAATTTTTCAACTTGTTTTCAACGTTATGACAAATATTAATTCTGAAAAAAATATAACTCCATTTGTCTTTGCATCCAAGCAGTTGCTGTTGTGATCCGCCCTTTTCTTTCCATTAGATATGGTTTTGATTAATTTTGGTTTTTTCGATATATTATAGAGCCCGAGAAGTGGACCTATAATCTCGAAGCGCGGCTCAGAAAATCCAAATTTACTGGACAACTGGGACGACGCAGAAGGATATTACCGTGAGTGCGTTTTAATTGATTGTTGAATCTCACAAATATTGAATGTTTGGTTTTATTTGGTTCAAGTGATTTCTTCTACTGGCTTGAAAAGTGAAATATGTTTATCATTGCAAAGCTATCAGATTTCATGTAGAGGAGGGTTTAGCCTCACCAAGCTGCCAATTAGGTTTCTATGAAAGGCGCTATATCTCTTGTTGCAAGTGTGTTTAACTCTCTTGTTTATATTTCAAACATTTGTAGCGATCAATCGTACTTTTTTGCTTCAGGTGTTAGAATTGGGGAGACCCTTGACAAGAGATACAGCATCTATGGTTACACCGGCCAAGGGGTCTTCAGCAATGTTGTGAGAGGCAGGGACACTGCCAGATCAAACCAAGAAGTTGCAGTCAAAATCATCAGGAATAATGATATCATGTTAGTTTCATATTTTTGTCAATACTGCAGCTTTTGTTATTCAATATTCAATTTCTTTTTTTTAATCTGACTCCTGCCTCATGTTTTACAATACTTAATTATTTTCTTCATTCTGTATACAGTGAACCCCTTGTTTAGGATTGGAATCTCTGTGCGTAACTGGAAAGAAAAATGAGGCGAGGTTATCTGTCCGTTTTTAGATTTTTCTTAATTCTGTATGGTGATGTATCATTGTCATCACACTTGCATTAATTTCACCTCTGGTTTGAACTCTTTATCAGGTACAAGCAAGGTTTGAAAGAACTCGAGGTATTGAAGAAGCTCAACGATGCCGACCCTGATGATCGATACCACTGCCTTCGAATGTTTCGACATTTCTTTCATAAGCAGCATCTTTGTTTGGTTTTCGAATCCCTCAGGTAAAATCATTCTAGATTTTTGGCAGGTATTAATCGCAGCACCACACGTTTTATTTACCACAGCATTAAACCGCTATATTTTTCTATTCATGTCACAATCTGTATGTTCTCTGTCCGTGAAAAGATTTCCTTTTTTCGTAGCATGAACTTGCGCGAGGTACTTAAGAAATACGGTCAAAACGTTGGTTTACACATAAAGGCAGTCAGATCGTACAGTCAGCAACTTTTCCTCGCCTTAAAATTGCTGAAGAAGTGTGATATCATCCATGCTGATATTAAACCTGATAATATACTGGTAATTATGTTTGTGTATGATACTGTTTCTTCTGTCAAGTAGAGCTGTGTTAGTTCCTTTGAATCTTCAGGTCTCAAGAGCCTTGATTTAACAAAGCGAATGAGTCAATTAGGGAAGTTTAGATCCTGTGCGAAAGCGAGTTCAAATTCAAATTTTAAACTGCACATCGACTCTGCGCAGGAATCGCCCAGAAAACTCGCACTTGACAGCCAAGCTCAGTACGTCTTTCAGACAAAATTTTGCACTACAGGGAACGAGTTTTCAAGCTTGCATTTTATGGAAGAATAAACGTAAGTTAAAATGTCAACTGGTAACCAAAGAGAGCTCTTTATTTGGAAATCTAAGCATGATCGATGCTTTAGTCTTGAGCTACTCCTTGCTGAGCCTTATCTTTATAAGCCCCAATCCAAGGAGCAAGGGCGAGCTTGGAAATTGATAGTGGACAATTTAAATCAATCGGAACAACCAAAATTTCGAGTTGCAGTTAGAGCTGTTCATGACAGGTTCTTCAAACTGATAGAAAGGTTTAAGAAAAACGAGAAAGACGTTGAAATTCTTCGCGAGGGTGTGCTGGTAAAGAAGGACCAAGTAGAAGAGGAAATGAAATGTAAAGAGGAAGAGTTACGAGAAAGGCAGCTAGCAAGAGAAACACAACAAAAAATGGTCAGGCAACAGCAATAATTCATGGCAAATATGCAAGCATAGCAACATAAATTTTTATTGCAAATGAATGAGCAGAACATGCAAGTAATGAGACAGATAGCAGAACTTTGTAGTGGTAAAAACAACTAGCTTTACACAATACCTGTTAGCTTCACAATACCAATATGAGGTTTCCTTGTATTCTGAAAATCATGACTTCTCAAAAAATATTTGTTTTCAAGTGTTAGTTAGCTGAAACAAAAGAAATACTGATACATAAGCTTACAAAGTAATTATTCTTCTTTCCAGCTTCTTGTTTCTTTTTGGCCAACATCTGAGGGCTGTTTGGTGTTGAAATATTTTAAAAACAAATGTTTTACAAAGGCTACAACAGGATAGCATTCTTGACTATAGTTCCTAACTGCCTTTTGTTAATTTATCAATTAAAGTTCCAGTTTTGGTTTTACTTGCGAATGCCCTGAAGCTTGAATAAAAGTAACTATGATGCCATAAATCTTGCCCTTTATGAAAAAACTTGATTTTTGTTAATAAGAAATCTCAAGAAATTAAGAGCATTCTTAAAAAGTCTTACAGTTTTTAGGCAAGTAAAGCATGTTTAATTGGAAACAGTCTGTATCAGGAAAACTGTGCTATGTGCAAATGTCTTGACTGAAAGTTTCAATAAATTACAACATAAAGTTACATAACAACATTACAATATAAATTAGAACAATAAATTACAACATGAAACCAGTAAAGTATTCTTCTAGACTTGGAGGATCTACTTCCATGAACCTGCTAGTTGAAGAACTATACAAACAAGTCTTGGAGAAATGCAGACACAATATACATAGTGCCAAGTATTCTGCTATTTCACCAAAAACCCACTCTACAGATACCCTGACACTGCTTATTGCTTTATTGAATTGTTTCTCTTCTTTTGTAAGATTGTTATGCTTATAAGGAGCTTGCAAGTGAGGCCGTATTGGATATGCTGGGTCAACATATATGCATAATGGTTGTTCATTTTGGGTGGTGCAATGCTGCTCAAGGTTCTGCAGAAGCTCTGACTGACGAAGGATGCCAGCATCATGACTTTTGCCCTCTGTTCAGAAGTAAAAAAATTTCTTTAAAAGAAGTAAAAAGAATTAAGTGAGCCAAGAGTCAAGTGAGCCAAAAAGGTTTATCAATAACCAAGCCCGATATACAGCAAAAATTTTACTTACCAACAGGACTGTAAAGGTTGGCTATAAGGCCATTGGCAGAAACAGCAGATTGGTAGTTCAGTGCATTAACCCGCTTATGGCCGTTGTAAACATATTTTTGGTTCTCTCCAGGTTTGCATATTGGCCAAACAGTGCCATCTACGAATCCCCAGCAATTTTCAAGGGCATGGCTCTTGTTATGCACTGCTTGTGCATATTCATTAAGTTTCTTATGTTGCAACCAACGCTGTTCAAAGCTAGTGAGAAGATGTTTCCACACGTCGCTCAAATATTGCACAACTTTGTTGACTATCAGGCATATTTCTGACTTACTTCCAAATCTCGGAATTAAGTCACTGTATCGACAAGGAACGGCAAATCTCTTCAGCGACACACAGAGTCCCTCAATTGCCGAAGCAGTTGTTCCATTTGAGCAGACAAATTTTGGGGGTAAACGAAATGCCTGCACAAGTCTTGGTGTATCTCTTTTCTTGAAGCGAAATTCGGTCTTGCATTCATCCTCATTCATGGAATTTAAATCGAGACCCTCATAATTCCAGTATTGAAAAATTGGCACCTTTTTTCAAATTCAAAGACGACAGCAATAACATCAACTTCGTCGATAAGATCCTCAGCAAGGAGAAACATAGCCGCTGCAGTAAGATCATTTGCCATTTTGTTTCGTTCTCGTGCCTCGGCTCAAATCTAAACGATCAAACAGCACTGAACGACTTCTAGTGCGAGTACAAGAACTCCCGGGAAGAACTTGAACTTGAACTCGATCTCGCAGTGGATCTAAACCACCCTATTTGCCTTCTTTAATGCGACTCCTTCATGATATTCTCAGTTATATACTACGGTCTTTAGAATGAAAGTGCTTAAGTGAGAATTGAACGAGAATCTGCCAACTTGTTCAGATGTATACTATTACTGTGAGACAGGGATTAACAACAACGGATTAACAACAACAGCAACAATAATAACAACAGCAAAATAAATTTTATGCTACAAATGAAAACGTTTCTTGTAGCCCGATTTTTTCTTACATCGTCGCTGTCATTTCCTAGCGCTATCTGTGAACATGGTCCTTGTCTATGTAGATGTACTAAATATCCTTAGGATGTTTTATGAGATAAGAACAATTCGTTGCCATTTCAGGTGAATGAATCGAAGTTAACGTTGAAGCTGTGTGACTTTGGCTCAGCGTCATCAATCACTGAAAACGAGATCACACCTTATCTTGTCAGCAGATTTTATCGGGCACCTGAAATCAGTAAGTATTTTCCTCTTTGAGCAGTGTCTTTGACCTCTAACTACATTAACTACATTAACTACAAAAATTTCGTCGTGATAAAATTTCAGACAAATACTTTGACGAAATTTTCTTCGATGGAATTCAAAATGAATTCTAAAATTTGGTCACGACGAAATTTTTTGAATTGAAGATTTTTAATAATTCGCATAGAAAAACTCTTAGATGAGGTTGGGAATAGAATTAAAGTATCTTTTTTATCTTGTCAGTATCAACTACGTCCTTTTCCTCATTTACAACGTCTCCATAATTATCTTTACCGTCGGCATCATGATCATCATCACCATTGTCGGTTCTTGAACTAGCTTCGTTATCATCATTGTTCAATAAAAATAGTTCTTAGTTGCGTAGCGAGAGAGAGGCAAAAGGGGCGGGTGTTGACCCCGCCGTTGCATGAACTGAGTAAATTTCCGCTTTAATTTGGTTTCTCTGACATGCTGCCTGGGGGGTTGAGCCAAATTCTGAGCGGGTGCTCAAGCTCCTAAGTCTCCACGAAGTCGGTACCTATGTGACAGAGTATAGGCAAACCTGTATGGTTTTGGCTCTGAAGATTTTGGTAATATGTTGCTATCTTTGTGTTAAAATCTACGACGAAATTTTGTCACGACGAAATTCTGAAAAGTTGTCCGAAATTTTTTTCGACGAAATTTATCCGCCGAAAATTTATCTGACGAAAATTTTTGTTGTTAATTACACTTTCAACGTCATCATTATAATCATAATTATCATCATAATCATCATCATAATCAACACCATTATAATCATCATTATCATCATCATCATCATAATCACCACCATCATCATCATCATTATCATCATCATTATCATCATCACCATCATCATCATCATCATCATCATCATTATAATCATAATTATCATCATAATCATTATCATTATCATCATCATCATCATAATCACCACCATCATCAGTATCATCATCATCATTATCATCATCATCATCATCATCATAATCACCACCATCATCAGCATCATCATTATCATCATCATCATCATCATCATAATCATAATCACCACCATCATCATTATCATCATCATCATCATAATCACCACCATCATCATTATCATCATCATCATCATCATCATCATCATCATAATCATAATCATAATCATCATATTCATATTCATCATCACCACCACCATCATCATCATCATCATCATCATCATCATCATCATCATCATCATCATCATCATCATCATCATCATCATCATCATCATCATCATCATCATCATCATCATCATCATAGATACTGTTTACCAGTAAAGCTAGCAGGCAACGACTTTCTGCCACCTCTGCGTTTAACCCTATCTATAGAACTAGAATAATAACAATCGCGAATATCGCTGCATACAACTTAAGTCATCTTTCTTTACCAATGTCATGTTTTCTTCGTAGTCATTGGACGGCCATATGACATTGCCATCGACCTGTGGTCAGTGGGTGCAACCATCGCTGAGCTTTACACGGGAAAAATTCTTTTTCCTGGTAAGACAAACAACGAAATGCTGAAATTGATGATGGAGCTAAAAGGGAAAATGCCAAACAAACTACTTCGCAAAGCTAAGTTTAAGGAACAGCATTTTGACGACACTTTCAATTTCATGTACGGCGAGGTTGACAAAATTACGCAAAGGGTTAGTTAACTATACCTAATTTTGATTGTTTTAAAGTGATCTTGTCAACCCTATCTCAAAATCAAGTTGGTTTTTCCTTTCAACTCTGTTGTTTCATTTTTTAAGTCTTTATCACTGCGTATTTTAAAACTTTTGGAAATTTCTTTTTGCCTGTGTTTTTAATCTTTTTCTTCCCAAGAACATAGTTTATTGGCTATAACAAGGTTTCTGCAGCCATTCCGCGCTATACCGTGGATAAGAATGTGAAAGGTCTCTTCCGGCCTCATTTCGATGTTGTCACCATTAATTGACCTTTTCTTTGGCGAATGCCAGTAGGGTCCCGGAAAAGCAATTTCATTTTCACCCGCTCAAAATTAGTTTTTCCAATCATCAAAGCAGTGTCCTGGGACAATAAGGGCTTCGGTCTATTTGTGAAAAAATTATTCAGATAAGCTTTATTTTACGGGGCAAGTTGTCATCTAAAAAAAGGGAAGTTTCTAAATTCTGCTTTTTAATCTTAGCTCCAAATTCAAGCTTTGAGTTTCCAGAGCCTAGATAACATGACAGTCTTACGGTTCACAAGCTTGAGAAAGGCCAACGACAAGAAATGAAACTTAAGTGCCGCACCAACACCCCACTTTGTTTTTATTTTTTTCTGAGAAAGGCTTTAAAAGCTCAAAAGTAGTGTCAGGAGGAGCACTGTTTGAATTCTTCTTTGCACTCAACTAAGTTATATTTATTTTTAGTGATCTAGAAATCTGCAGATGAAGTGTATGGCTCCTAAGCAAAACATTTTATTTTTGTTCTATTGCATTATCTTTTCGTCTTCTGGTGTTGTCTTCAATTTTATGCTCTGCGGTTCAACCTATAGGGTTCTCGTTGCTATTTACCACCAATTTCTTATGTTAAACCAATAAATTTTTCAGTACCGTTCCCCATCTTTTTTAATTATAGACTTGACCTATGATGCAATGCTGTTAACAGTTATGGAATGCTTGTAAAATGCCTTTAGATGCAAATTCAATTGAATGATTGTCCTTCCTGGTAATTACCAATTAATTAATCAATTGCTTGCCCTACCAACTAATTACTTTTATTTGCATTGCTCCTGGCCTTATTTTCATTCTCTTTCTTTTTTGGGGTTTCATCTTTGCCTTTCTTCGTTTCTTTTCCTTTGGATCATCCGGTATGTATGAACTTAACTTTTACCAATGCACTGATTAGGAGAAGATAACGACAATTAGCAATATACAAGCGAAAGATCTCTTTGAAATTCTAATTGGAAACCAAAGACATAACGATGATATGAAGAGAAAAGTGTTGCAGCTCAAAGACTTGCTCGATAAAATCTTCATGCTCGATCCTTCGAAGCGCCTGAGCTTGAACCAGTGCCTTCTGCATCCGTTCATCATTGAAAAGATTCACTAGAACCGAACAGTTATTAACATGTAAATATTATCAATGGCCGTTGCATTAACGCTAGTCTTTGCTTAGAAAAATCGCTTTTTGACACAATGGACTATGTGTTTGTAATTAGTTTGATTGATAAATTTAAAAATTTTTTATTTTTGTGTAACTTTGTTTCCGTTTTGGCGCAAAACAATTTCTGTTGAAACGAAAATATCTGACTCAGAACTTCACGGACAGGTTAAAATTTTTATTATGGAAATGAGGGGTTTCTCCTTGCTTAATATACGATTTTGAAGTTAAGTCGTTTGAGTCTTGAAGAAATTTTTAAGTCAACAACACATATGAACGTGCTATTTTTAACGTTTTGTTTCTTTTATCAATTTTGTTTAATGATTTTGAAAACTTTTTGATTCGACTGAGCATTAAATTTCTCAATAGATTAAAAGTACCTTTTCTTGGCTTTATGGAGAAAAATTGCATGTCACACATACAAACAGAATCTTTTGAAATTGAAACTATGTAAATTGATTGCTTCTTTTGCTTATCCCCGTTTTCGTTAATTAATTTTGATTCTTTCATCAGAATTGCATCGCAGTAGTACACATTGGAAAGAGTTTGCATCAAAATGGCGCTGCCACTGGTGTTCTCCTTGTATGTGTGAAAACAAAGCGATATTCTTGCGTTTCATTTACAGTTGAAATAACAATTTTTTTTCGGTTTTAATGCCAGTCATCTAATCAGATTTAAAAGTTGAAAAGAAAGGTTTTCTGAACTATAAACGCCCTAAACACTTACAAATATCTTTTATTTTGCACTCTATCTAGCAAGGCAGGTTTTTCGCTACTTACTATTTTAGGACGGGTGTGAAAGCATGAGGATTTGATTTGTGCTCGTTTTTACTTCGTCTGCTCATCCCTCATTTCGCTCCTTTTTTCCAGCTGACGTGTTTGAATGTTTGTACTTCTTTTCTGTTATCATTGGAAGGAGATTAAGACATCATTCATTAAATATCTCAACGAGAAAGTTGAAAATCAGTTTTTCCTCAATTGGCAGTCGCTCTTCCCGTGCAGAAATGTAGCCGATATAGCATGTTGTGTTATCTCAGGACTCACGAAAGACAGTGCTGTTTTTTCCTTGCTTTCTAAAAATTTACGCAGCACAGTCAACTCTACTTCGGCAACACCCAAAACTGCATGCTCGTAAAACAAGGCTCGCTGTACACAAGGGTCAATGTCTGACAGGAGTTTGAAATATCACCCTACTAGAGTATTTTGCATCCCAAATTTCACCCTCCAGCAAAAGTAAGGACTGTCAGATTCTTAAGAAACCGTTGATTCATCCAACGGTTAAGGTGGGGCTAGTCTGATAATTAGGGTTTGCACTAATCTTTGGGATTTGAATTGACACATTTTCATGCTATTTGCAGATGCCCTCTGTACTGCTTTCTCGCAAGGAGGAATTTCTCCAGCTATTTGTTAATGGACTAAAGCAAGATTGGAAGGCGGTTCAAGAGAGAGAATGTTGGTAGGTGGAAGGAACGGAACCAATTCGAAACAAAGTGTCATTTTCTTTTAGAGTGATGAAAGGGAAGCAACGGCTCCCTTGGTTAAGTTTTGAGATAACTTTTGAAAATAGCTTTTTGGTGGGTGGTTTGAGAATTTAACAACAAAGCATTTAAGCTGCCATTTTTGATTGGTTTTCAAAGTTGAATCTAGGTTTTCAAATTTATTTGGTTACATAATGAGTCCAAACCTGACCAATATGACAAGCAGGAACGTACACGAAAGTAGGCATGGGCGAAAAATTTTGGCTGCAGAAAGTTGGAGATTCAGAAAATTGCATGAAAAAAACGAACTGAATTTCTATCAATTTAGCAAACTACAAGTGGATGTTCATTGAAAATCCTTTTTCTTTTTATTATGGAAATTTGGAATATGCACTCATCATGTCTTTAATGATTTCATTTAAGCAAAAAAGATTTGTTCAAAGAAAAGTTGGTAGCAAGACTTAAAATCAGCCTTCTGGTGAGGAAAAAAGATATTTGGAGTCAGCTGTTTGTAAGTCACTTTAAAAGCAAGCGAAATGTAGATGAACCTTGGCATTCAAAGTTTTATTCATATAAAATAACCCAATGTGGTTAGCTACCCATCAGCGGCTTGTCCACATTATCTGGTGCAGCATATTCTCTCCTGATGCTCTTGCCTTTATCAAGCAGCCCCTGGGAGATCAAAAGCCTTGGCGAAAATGTATGAATGATTCGTGGAATTCAGTTGTGGCTATATGTTTAGTACAACGTGCTTCAGTTTATGATCTGGCGTTTTGTGTTTGTGACATGGTTTGCTTATGCTTGTGATATGGTATGTTGATATTTGTTATATAGTGAGTTTAATTCTGTGAGACGGTATGCTTGTGTTGGTGACATGGTGTATTTATGTTTTTGACATGTGTTTTAATGCTTGTGACATGGTATGTTTATGTGCTATATTAGGTTCTAAACGACAGACAGAAAAATTCAAGAATTATATATTTAAAATGGTCTATATTATTAGATAATAGACTCAAAAAGTTCTTTCCAATTTATATGAAGATAAAAATTGCAAGCACATACTTTTTCAACTCATAAAAACAGGACAGGCCACTGCTATATTCCTCCCGTAACTGCGTAAACTAAAAGAGCCATATATTTTAAAATTCTGTTTAAAAACCCCAAAAAATTGTTATGTGTTGTTGATTTATATCTTCTCTGACTACCTGCATCAGAAAAGGCACTGAAAGAGTTGTGAGCCACGAGTAAATCATTCATTATTAAAACAAGCAATTTTCCATACTGAACTCTATTGCAGCTCGCTCTTGCCACTATTCAAAATGGCGGAAGTAAACAAATTTCCCTCACTCGGCAGTACGCAACATGACCAGTCATACGCGCAACATTGGGTACCCCGTTTAGTTCTCATGTCGGTTCTTTCGGTGTTTCGCGGTGAACAGTGGGTCCCACGGTTCTAGAGCCTAAGCAAATTTGGCGGGCCTCGGTTCTCATGTGGGTCAAACAATTAGAAGCTCGATCCAGTCTTTTATAGAGGTACATTTATTTTCAAAAGGAGGCTGCTCAGGCTGCGTACAACGACGATGATGATGGCTGCGAAACGTTTTCGGTGGCCTGCACATGCTGCCGGAAAAATCTCTGACATCTAATTATTCAGGCTAAACATAAACTCTCTCCGAATACCGCTCTCGTGACTTTTCTCTTTTGGGCAACTTTTGGAGGTAATTTGTTCCGCAATTTTTATCTTTTGTATGTTATTTTGTCATGGCTGGCATCCTGTATTTCAATGGTCGATGAATTATCAGAGTACTCTCATTCGATTTTAGCTATGTGTACCATTAATACTATTGACGGCGAACCTGAAGAATCTGGTTAGGATAATCTATTGATGAACGTCATGAATAAGAACCCTTTGAAGTGGTCTTCAAGCCAGGGTGGAATCTATGTTGAGGGTGTGCAAGGGTTTTGACTCGTTGACTAACAGACTATTTTGGCAACTGACAAATGACTAAATGACTAATTATGTGTCAAACCCAAGACTAATGAATAACCATATTTTTGACTAAAGACTAATGGCCTATTGCAACTAGTATACTGCTTATTAACTGATAATTTAGTGGAAGAGTTTTTTAAAGGTTTTCCAATTTTCATTACGTAATATGTGAGTATTCCCTATATTACCTCTCAATGACGGTGCTCTTTCTTCTGATCTTTTAATATCCTTTCCCTTAATCGTGAAATCTGCTCTATGTATAATGGATAACAATTACTAAACATCCTTTGACTGGCTGTTTTTCTTGCAATTCAATGAAAAACTTAACTTGAACTTATAAGATTTTTTCTTTTTGTACATGAAACTATGAATAAATATTAAAACCAGGAGTTTTGTACTAAAAAACTCCTAAAACTGTACTAAAAACTTTTTTTACTAACTGGAGCCAAAAATCTTGACTAGTGACTGACTGGGCCTTTTATGGCCTGACTAATGACTAGCAGTATACTCCCTTCTACACCCTCCATATAGACCTCACGCTGGAAATTGCTTTACATTTAATTGCCAAAAAGTTGTGTGATACAATGCATAATAAATAATATTAATCATCCTTTCCACCACCACTGGTTGTTTAGAAGTCATAGTCTTACACTGGCCCAAACATAGGCATGAAGCCCATCCACCTTTATGCCAACACATTATTGGAAATAAAATAAATTTGCAGAGGAAATAAAATGTTTGGAGGAATAAAAAGTAGATAAAAGTGTACTCTACCCTTCTGTTAGTTGTTCTGTGCGATATTGCTTAAAATGTGTCCTTTCGCCACAATGTCTGTACATTTAGATAAAGTTGATCTTGAGAATTTTTATTGAACAAATCAACTCATTGTCGAGTTGTGCATCACACGATGTACTGTATGAGTACCTAAAAGCTTTGATCACTAAATATTAACAGTTGTACAGTCTCAGGAAAGCGTGCCTCGCTTGGGATATAGATAAAGATGCTTTTTAAAAGTATTGTCAAGATGGCATTGAAGTATGATTTTTTTTGTAGGCATAAAAGATAAAAACCAATTAATAAAGATAATAACAAACCAATATGTGAAAAAATTTAGAAATCAAAACAGGACAGTAAGAAAAGGGGGATGAAAAGTAGTTAAAGCCTAAAACCAGATGGGGTGGTTGTGTATGCCCCTTATTTATTTTGAGCAGTTTGTTTGAAGAGGGCAGAAATTTATAAGGAAGCAACTCATCAGCCAGAAACCCATGAGGGACATTTTGGAGCTTTAATTTGGTATGTCTGTTTTTTGTGCGCACCCCTTACAATCCCAAGTCCAGGATCATGGTTGCAAAACAAGAAACAGAAAATAAAAATTTAAAGCCAAATAGAAGGGTATATAATTAGTAAATGTGACACCTTAGGTGTTTGTGTTGCTACTATGATATTTATACATTGCTAAAGTTGAAGGTGCACAATGCTTCGGGAAGTGGCTTTGTGTTAATGGTCTAAATTTAGAGTGAACCAATTGATCTTTGAGGTTAGGCCTTCTAGTAAAGGCTGAAATACACTATGCATTTAAATGGATTCAATTAAATGAACAGTCCATTTAAATAAAAAATGTCTCCGTTTACACTCACCCATTAAAATGAATCAGTTTTTTTGAAGCGTCCCCTTTTTTATCATGGACTCTGATGAGGAATGTGCTGTTGCTTCTGCTATAATTGCAATTGGTTATAATAAACGAAACGTAAGCGCAAAAATTAAATAGGCAACAAAGATCTGTCTGGGTTAAGTCCTGGTTGACCTGAAGAAATAAGCTAGGAGTTGATAACACGCTTTCACAAGAATTCCATCTGGAAGAAGTCAACGAATATCAAAGGTTCTTGAGAATGTCTTGCAAAAATTTTGATGAGCTCTTGCATCTCGTTGAATTTGATATTTAAAAAAATCAACACAAGGCTGCAAGAGGCAATACCAACAAATGTAAAATTCTCAGCAAGGATTGTTATTTTTGTTTGTCATCCATCTCTATTGCAAAACAGGCGATCTCATGTCCAAAGACAACTTTTTTCTCTACACAAATTTATAAATTCTTAGTCTTTTTTAATTCTTTGACTCTGCAGCCATTTATAAGAATTTCAAAAAATAACAGCGTGATCAAAAGAATAGCCCGGCTGATGGAGTGAAGCCCTTGAAGTGCAGTGCAGGTCATTAAAGACAATAGGTTTGAAGGATGTTCGAAAAATACAATAGAAAAAGTTGGACAAAAGTTGAACACGTTCAACTTTTTAAAAGGAAGTTTCACTTTGTCGAAACAGCTATTTTGACATCCAACTTTGCGTTTACACTGTCCATTTTCCAGCTATCCATTTAATTGAATCCATTTAAATGCATAGTGTATTTCAGCTTTGAGAGCTAGAACCGGTCTGGTGATATTCCATATTTGTTTGAGATAAGCACTGGCTAAAATCAAGTGCCAATGTTTGGTGAAGATTGAATCTATATTCATCGTTTTGATGTTGAATGGGACAACAAAAGGCAGAACTTGTGATGGAAGGGGTTCTATGTTTAGGTAGTGCAGGTCCCCTCACTGAGTGCCTGACTGAGGGGTGGTTTTATTATTGGTGAGGTTTCCTGCGGAAAGGAGCACATTTTGGGTGACATATGCTAGTTTATTAAATTTGGTGGTGATATCCTTGGACTCAACCTCTTATGATTGATTTGTTTGGAGTGTTTTGAGGTGTTTGTCTGTAAATAACAGTCTTTTATATGAAACTGGGTGGAAGGATTTAGCATGTAGTAGGGTGATATATCAGTGGGCTTCACAAAACAGGTGCTTTCCAAGAGTCCACTGTTATTGTTAAGATTAATTGTGTTGTCAAGGGAGTTGATTGTTTCCCTAGATTGATGTGCTTACTGCCCATGCTTTGCAAAGCTTAAATTTGGTTCTATTCCTTTTTGCTACAGTGTAAACTTGATAAAAAAAGGTATCGTGCCCAAACAAGAACGGAACCAAAGAGTTTTGTTCTTTTTTCTGTAGTATAATGGTGACCTGTGTTTCTCTGATTTGGGTCCACATTGAAAGTGCATTGCAAGTATACCTTCATGCTTTTACATCATGATGGCTCAAGCTCAGATTCCAAGACTGCCAAAATTTGAGTCCTTCAATTCAAGGGTGACTAGGCGTTAATTTGAAGACAAAAACGAGACTACCATTGCATGGTGCAGGCAATATGGGCTGCTTTCCACAGCACAAGACTGAATTTTGTGTTATTGTATCTAAAAAACATTAATGGAAACCCTCATTTTAAAATACTGTGTATTGTGTGTAGGGATTCTTGTTTTAGTAATTATATTTGCCTTGGTTTGTTTGGGCGTGCCCCAAATCTTTGTTATTGTTAGACAGTACTCTGAAATTTTGTTCTGCATTCTTCACGAATAAATTTTTCCAAGAAATGCCCATTGCAGATTAGATATCATCATCTCATCTCATCTCATCTCATCTCATCTCATCTCATCTCATCTCATCTCATCTCATCTCATCTCATCTCATCTTAGATAAATTAGAAAAGTGATTCATCTTTCTACCTTTCTGAAACAGGACAATACTAACATTATTAATCAAAAAGTGTGAAAGTTTGAATATTTTTTTATTCATATTCATTTTCTTTGTTATACGCCAGTGCGCCAAGGAAATTATGAAGTCTGTGTCAGATATCTCTGGTGTAGGTTACATGGATTCCACCCTGGCCTTTAAAGCATTAGTTATCAGAGATTTGAAACTTGTTTTACTTTAAATAGTCTATTTGCCTGATTTGCCAATTTTTGCCAAAGATATGTCCCATGGACCATTGGTTCATTTTATCCATTTGGGACCTCAGTGCCTGCATCTATAGCCAAGGAACTTTTTATGCATTGCTGGAAAAGAACTTGATTCTGATCCTCCTATTTTCTTTATCTGTTGATAAAACCTTAAAGATAATATATTTTAGACCTCTGTTGTGTATCAACCACCTTCGCCACCTTTTTAAATTAAACTTAAGGATTCAGTTCAATTTAATTAAAAATTATCATTCAGCAACATTTTTACAATTTCAAAGTTTCAGTGACTAACATAAAATTACAATTCTAAGTTGACATATGAAATGTAGGGTAGATTTTATCAATAAGTTGCTAAGAACACCGAGAAGAACCAAAACTATGGTTATCAGACCCAGTGCATGTTCCTTTTTTCTACACCCCCTCACTAACAAATTGGTTAAGTAGTCTTGCTGCTGCAGTCTCAAATGTTTACATACCATAATGCCTTGAAAAAACGCCCCCTCAATTTTTTTAAATAAGTGCCCCCTCGATTAAGTGCCTCCCTCAAATAAGTGCCCACCCTGTAGCCTAAAAAAATTAAATAAGCGCTCGGGTGCTTATTTGAGGCATTAGGGTATTGCCAAGCTGGATGTAAGAGCTGACTTTAATTTCAGTCAAATTTAGTAAAAGAGCTCAAATGTTTTCTTGTATTGAGGTGTTAGAACACTGCTTGTCATAATTTGAAACTGACTAACTTCTTGCAGTAAAGCAATCATAGATTCTGAGATCACAGTTTTGTCTATTCTTGTGCATTAAAGTCAATGTTATTTTTGCAGTAAAGAGCAGCTTTGGCAAAAATGTATTTATACAACTTAACATTGCAAAAGGCATCAGCCATCTATTGTGCTGTTCATGGGCAATTTTCTGGGACCAAGTCACAAGAAATTGTTGTCTCAAGAGGGAAAGTGTTGGAGATACTTAGACCTGATCCAAATACTGGCAAAATTCATCCATTATATTCAACTGAAGTTTTTGGAGTTGTGAGAGATCTGATGGCATTTCATTTAACTGGAGGCACTAAAGGTATATTTAATTTTATTTTATTTATAAGAAAATTACTGTTTCCCTGTGTGTCATGTGCTTGATACCATATAGGCAGAGCTGTACACCTGCACAGTGGCTGTACAGATAAATAATGAAATAAGCTTTGGTACCACAGTAATTGAAAAAAGCACTGCAAAAAGGAAATATGTTATCACTGAAAAATGGAAATATGTTATACTAAGATACTTTATCTGCCACTCAACAGAATATGAATGTTGGGTAATGTCCAAAGGTAAACAGAAAATTTATGTCCAGATGTGGATCAAAAGTATCATGAGTGGGAGAATAATGTGCTCAATTGGTTTTTTCTTTGTTTTTTTCTAAGCTCTTTAAAGGAACAGGAGTTATCACTGTTCTTGCTATATCTACAAATATCTTCCAAGGCCTGAGAAAATATTAAAAAGGAAACATAGGGACCTGTTTATAACTTGTTTCTTAACTTTCTAAAATTGTAATTTTTTACAGAATTTCATGAAAACATTTAATGAATTCAACCATATTCTAGACTTTTTGGCTGTTGGCAGTGATTCAGGAAGAATGATAATACTGGAGTTTAATCCAGCAAAAAATTGTTTTGAAAAGGTAATCCATCTTTAGTTCTTAATAAAAGGTTTTTTGAAAATCATCCTTAAGTTTTCTTATGGTAAGATACAAATTTGCCAAACATCAGTTTTAGTAATCTTCAAGAGGTGTTTCAACATCAAATATTAAAGAATAGGTCTTTTTAGGACATGATTCACATTGGTTTTAAATGCATGTTATAATCCTCTAAAATTTGCAACTCAATCCAGTTTTAGTCTAGTCGATAACAGTAGGTTTTGTGTCATACTAGTGAATGTAAACATGGAGTTGTTGTGTGAATTTGATTGTTCTTCTGTGGCTCAAGTTTGGCAAGTGAAGCTTCCAATAGTAAAACAGTGTGTTGTGTGGAAATATGAATACAGGAAGCATTATGATTTAATTGTATATGCATATTATTACAAAGTTATGTGCATATTATTACAAATTTATATTTTTAGATGTCTATTTTAGATTCATCAGGAAACATTTGGTAAAAGTGGCTGTAGACGGATCGTGCCAGGGCAGTATTTGGCATGTGATCCTAAAGGAAGAGCACTGATGATTGGTAACTTATTGCTTTTTGAAAATATCTCATGCTAGGTATATATATAGTTTTATTAATGTAATTGCAGACTTAAATTTAATGGATACCGACAAAAGGTTAACACATTTTGTTAACTGGCTTTTACCAGCTTTTTAAATACTGAATTTTGGCTTTTACCAGCTTTTGAATACTGAATTTTCCAAAATTTAGACTGATTTCAAATTTATGTAGGATTTTATCAGGCAATTAAGTGAATATATATTTATTTAAATATTTTTAGGTGCTTTAGAGAAGCAGAAATTTGTATATATTATGAACAGAGATGCGTCAGCTCGACTAACGATATCATCGCCCCTTGAAGCCCACAAAGGACACAACGTTGTTTTCCACATGGTTGGTGTTGATGTTGGGTTTGAAAACCCAATGTTTGCTTGTCTTGAGCTGGACTATGAAGAATCTGACAATGATCACACTGGGGAGGCAGCCCAGTCTGCCCAGCAAACATTGACATTTTATGAACTGGATCTTGGACTCAACCATGTTGTCCGCAAGTTTAGTGAACCACTTGAGGAATTTTCAAACCTTTTGATATCAGGTTGGTTAGTTGGTTTCTGTTAAATGGGTTGAACTTCTTTTGGTAACAATAATTATATTCTGTTTTCTAGAACTTTGCATTACAACTGTAAGACATACATTTAGGGCCTTTTCAACAAAAAAGTGTGTTTTCATACCAGAAACAAAGCTCCTTCCGTAAAATGCTTGCTAAGCTATAGAACACCTCATGTTTTGAGAGATTTGAGAGCATAAGAGGAAGCAAGTTGAAAATGGTTATAACTTTTCTTCGGATTTTTACCAGATGGAAATCTCAAACTGAAGTGAACTAAGTCAAAACAAATAAATTTGGTCATATATATATCTGAATGGTTTTTTTACATGACTGTATGTTCCCTGTGATGGTTTCTTTGCAACAAAGGCATCAATGGCATTTTTTCTAACTAGTCTCACAATTTTAGCCTCCAAAAATGATTGAACATTGAACTTGAAGTATATACTTGGTCAGCTTGAATGTTATGTCTAAAGTTTGAGATATATGATTATTTTAGAATGATCTTTTATGCCAATTTTCACCAGAGAACTATGTTGGTTGGTGTTCTCTGCTCTTGCTCTTTCTTTGGTGAACATAACTGTGTATTTTCTGTCACTACTAAGATGTTGCCTTAAAATTTCAAGTGAATATTAATTATTAAGGGCCTTATGTCTGTTTCTTTATTGTAAACCTGTGAGATGCCTTTAAGTTGCAGTATTTAGTTGTTTATTCTATTCTTTCCCTTCATTGTATTTGTTTAGTTCCCGGTGGCAACGATGGACCAAGTGGAGTTTTGATATGTTCAGAGAACTATATAACATATAAGAATTTTGGGGAACAGCAAGACATAAGGTGTCCCATCCCAAGACGAAAGGTTAGAGAGTTATTAAATTGTAATTTATATGGTGTATAGCTTTAAGGGTGTATATCATGTGAATAGGTTGGTGATGACAAAATTTAGTAGATATAATCTGGTCAGTCCTTTGAGAAGGGCCATAGCCCTTGCTCCTCTCCCCTGAAAAGGAGCTACAGATTGCTATCCTACGTTGCTCTTAAAAGCATGCTCGTCTTGAAATTTAAACTTTCCTATGTTTTTATTCATATTTATCACAAAACAATGGCGGACACCTGGAGGCGAGAGGGGGGCAATGGTATTTTTATTTCAAATGATGGGAAATTGTGATGTCATAATTTTCAAACAATAGGCTTGTCCTATCCCAATCTTTGACCAAGTGTCTGCCCCTGTCACGAAACGCTCACCTGGAAATTACTAGGAGAGCTATTTGCTGCTCTGCTGGTGGCCAGGCCTGATGTAATTCTAGAAAATGTTGCAATTTATCTCTCCTCTCTCTGTTGTATGCTGTCTCTTTCATGTATACAAGGCTTTCACGTGCAGAAATCAACATACGCAACCAAAAACTCGCGTGATAAGAGTGGGGTGCCCGAATCCATTTAAATTGTTAACGCAGAACAACAAAGTTTTTTCTATTGAATCATTAAACGTGACAAAATTTTAATCAATTAACTGAATGCTACACATTGTATAGTTATGTTCATGTTTCTCTCACCAGTAATCGCTAAGGGTACTGTGCGACATAGAGAGGTTTCAGTGTCTTTAGAATTGTGACAAAGTTTCAGTTCTGTTCAGCAAAGTTAAAAGAGAAAACAGATAAAAATGGCAAATTAAAAATTTTAGCAATTAAAAAAAAGAAGGCCCAGTTTAACCAACAAATGGCAAAGGGCAATTATTAATGTGTTAGTCCATTGGAAATCAAGCCCTGTTCCTATTACCCAATTTTTGTAGGAAAATGGAGCTGAATGAAACGTTTCTAATTTTGGGTTCCAATTGATACGCTCAAAAATGGAGACATTCGATAATGATGTTCAAAGTTATCAACTGAAAACAGAGTCATTTGAAAAATGAATCATTTTAGTGGGAACAGCAAAAACAGAGTCATGGGGAATGGTTTCATTTAAAATCGAATTGTTTTAATGAGAAAATCAAACACGGAGTCAATCAAAGGAAGCCTGGGTGCTATTGGGTGCCCTCCATTGAGAGCCCTATGTATATGATCAACTAACCATGTCTTTCTGTTGCAGAATGACCTGGATGATCCTGAAAGAAGCATGATATTCATTTGCAGTGCAACTTACAAAACTAAGGTGACAACCCAACTTTGCTCTTATCTATCTAGAAGTTTGTCTTTAGATACTTTTGTAGGCCAGTTCTCAATACATTTGTGCAAAGTGTGATATAGTTAGAGTTGAAGAAAATGTTTACAAACATCTCCTGAAGAGAGAGCTATTCACGAAACAGGTTTGTAGAGATGAAGCATGTAGTTTATTTCTTCAACTCCCAGCTATATTTATTTATTTATATATTTATTTGATTTATTGCAATTTCATGTTATTCCTTTAATCTGTATTTGTGCTATCAGTTTTAAATGATTGTCAAAGGTATTTATTTTTTGAAGGTGTGTTTTCATTTTCTCTAGTCGATGTTCTTTTTTTTGGTGCAATCTGAGCAAGGTGATTTGTTCAAAATAACTTTAGAACATGATGAAGATGTGGTAAGTAATTATGATAACCATATGATTAAGAAATTTCAGTTATTTTAAGATTTGTGTATGATTGTTTTAAATGATCAGGGACAGATTTGACCAATAGCAATTAGGGGGAGACAATAACTAAATTTTGGTGCCACACCAATCAGGTGACTGGAAAATGATGGAGACACCCATTTTTCAAATTCTGCTTTTAACTTAAAGGTAAAGAAGATATATATATATATATATATTTATATATATATAAAGTAAATTTTTGCATTATTTTGCTACTTCTGAACATCAAAAATTGCTTTTTACCAAATCAAAATCAAAATTTACAGAAGGACACAAAGTATTGGAGGTCAAATCCCTACAAGAATCTTTTTGAAAATTGCTATGCAGCACACCCTTTGAAGTTACATTAAACACAGGAAATATCAATAAGGGAAACAATTGATGGTTCTGAAGGATTGAATAGTTACAACTTGCTAACAGTTTTTTAGCCCCACCCTGCCACACCCACTTTCATCAAATAGCTAAATATTTGTTAAATTTTACACCAAATAACCCTATAGGAAAACCAAATAACTGAATTGGATAGCCCTAGTATAAACATATTTTTTCTGTTTCAAAATTTTGTACGAAAACTTTGGTAAATGGGGGAAGGCCAAATAATGGTGTAAATCTACCCAAACTGTGAAAACCCATATGCTGTCTAAAAAGTGAATAAGGAAACCACAAATTACCTTATTTTGTTTCCATTTCTAAAGAGGTTTAGGCTCTGTGTTTAAGACTACATGTTATAATGTTATGGTACGTACAAAGCACTTTCTTCCAACCAGCGAAATTTTGTTTTTTCTCTTGAAGGTAACAGAGGTGAGAATCAAGTACTTTGATACCCTCCCTGTTGCATCTGCCTTGTGTGTGCTGAAGACTGGGTTTCTCTTTGTTGGTTCAGAGTTTGGTAATCAGTAAGTTGACTTTGAGATTAATTTTTATTAGATAGGGTGGAGCATTTGAAGTGATGATGATCTTAGGACACCTCTGATTACTATGATTATCAAAAGTTATCACCTCTGATCAAAATGTTTCCACCTCCCTGTAAGCTATGGCTGTTGTCATCAGGATGAAGATATTAAAATCTTTTGTCATTTGCAGCTCTTATAGCTTGTGTGGCAAAACAGTTGTGTTGAGCTTGACTGATGCCAATCAACTTCAGATCTACTTTCATTTCCCTTTAGCGCTTTGTACCAAATCACTCATCTTGGTGACGATGATGATGAGCCTGAATTCACCAGCACAATGGCTGAGCAACTTGAGGAAGGTACAACTTTCTTCTTCCAACCAAGAGAATTAAAAAATCTGGTTCTTGTTGATGAAATGGAAAGCCTTTCCCCTATCATGCATTGTCAAGTATGTATCAATGTTATTTTTGTATTTATCTTTTTCCCTGGCATTTGCATTTTCAGTTTCTCCGATGTGCTCACTCGATCTTATTTTTTGTAAATCTGCTACTCGCAATACCTGCTGTGGCAGTTCTTGTGTTGTCATATGTTATTTAGTCTTTGTGTGTTAATTTACATTATTTTTGTATATAATTCTTTAAAGTTATTAGTAGAATCTAAAACTGATAGTTTCAGGCAATTCTTTAGTTTTAAATATTTTGTTTGTTTTTGAAAGATTGCAGATTTAGCCAATGAAGATACCCCACAACTTTACACTGCTTGTGGAAGAGGACCAAGGTCTTCCCTTAGAGTGCTAAGGCACGGTCTTGAGGTAAAGTTGCTACTTGCTTGGTTTTATGTCTTTCTTTGTTTTGCTTGTCTTACTCTTATCTTAAAAGATGCAAAATGAAATTTTTGATATCAAGTTATGTAGTGTTATATTTCAATTTGTATTGTGTCCTTTCACCAAATCATGAATGCTAACTTGAAGTGTTTAGATTGTTGATGGCTGCTAGTCGGCATTCTGCTGACAAATACCTTCAACTTTTATAATTAGTGATTTGCACCTACTAGATAGGATATGAAAGTTTTGATTAGATCTCATGAATATTTTACAAAATGGGTCTGTTTTTTATCCAAAAAACATTTTAGTAGCATAAGGTGTTATTGCCAATTTACCGACACCATGTTGAAATGATGATTTATCTTAGGACACCTCTGAAGTTTAATGATTTAAGTTCTTACTGATCAACATGATGGCGTGCATAAGACATTGTTTATTAAAATATATGAAAATTATTTGAAACTTGAAAGGTTGTTAGTTTGTTGAGTAGTTAAGCTTCTGTTGTGTGCTGAAAATTTTAAAAGAATGTTTTTTATAATGAAAGCTTGAAAGTAATGTGCCAGATTTTTTTATAGGTCTCTGAAATGGCTGTCTCTGAACTGCCTGGCAACCCAAATGCAGTTTGGACTGTTAAACGCAGCTCTGCTGGTAAGGCAGACTTTCAGATACAACATTTTTGTTTTTTTTTTCTAATCAAAAATTATTTTTCAATAGCATTTGTTGCTTTTGCCAATTTGCCTACGTCATGTTGAAATGATGATTTATCTTAGGACACCTCTGAAGTTTAATGATTAAATTACCTACTGATCAACATGATGATACATATGTCCTTTATCATGAAATTGGTGGACATTTTTTGAATTTGAAATTTAGAGGTTGTTAGTACATTTAGTATTTAAGCTTTGATGCGTGCTTACAATTGTAAAGGAATTGCTGACTCAACCTTATTTTGTTTCCACGTGCAGATGAATTCGATGCTTACATTGTTGTGTCTTTTGTTAATGCAACTTTGGTGCTAAGTATTGGTGAGACTGTTGAGGAGGTTACAGACAGTGGATTCCTTGGTACAACGCCAACACTCACATGCTCTCTTCTAGGAGATGATGCCCTTCTGCAGGTAAATTTTCTTCATCTACTTGTTGGGGAGACAAGTCTAGATTCCCATTTTTAGGGATATAATTATATCTGAACCAATGGAAAATTTTCATCATAAAAACCAAAATTTCATTCTCACTCTTCTCATGACACCTTATGACGTCATTTGATTCGCATACCATACAAAATATTGTGCGAGGGCCATTCTCTATTTTGCAAAAGTTCATGCCAGTGACGTCAGATTGCGACTGGTCAATTTTTCAGTACCGTAATTCCTCGGGGCTTATTTAATTTTAATATTTTTGGATGGTGGTTATTTGAGGGGGGCTTATACAAGGGGGGGCTTATAAAATTGTTGTAGACATTAATAAAAGACCTCGTATATTTTAGTAGGAATTTAATCATTCGCTATCAAAAATATGAATTTTTTGGTAACTCAGACGGCGAAAATCAACAAATCGAGGGAGGCCAGTTCGAGAATTTACGGTAGCAGTGAGGGCTTTTTCGACGATGGGGCTTTTTCGAGGAGGGGGGCAATTCGATGATTTATGGTATGTTTGAAAGCCAACAGACCAGCGAACAAATGCTGGTTTGTCTTCCCAACAACTGCTGCAATGTTTGCTCAGGACGAGAAACCTTTTCGATTACCTTCATGACCTGTATGTGAGAACAAACTTTGAGATATGGCAACCTGAAATGTACCAGCGCATCTGTTTGATGAGTTTTTTATTTTTCCCACGAAAAGTCACGTACTTTGTTAAATGCATTTTTACCAAGTTTAGATAGCACCTAAAAATATATCCTTTAAGTAGTTTGGTCCAACGGAATTTGAATAGTTAAATCCATCCTAATTTTTGGAACAAAATAAAGACTGATTTCCATGAAAATATTGTTGTGTGTAACTTCCTGTTGATGAATGTCCTTTGAAACAGAAAAATAAAATGTATGCGTTGCCCACTGTTCATCTGCATCAACTTAAGCCGCTCTTACATTATCTATCGAATTCGACAGAAGCTGACCGTTTATAAAAAGAAATCCAATGTTGAAAGCCATCATAAGATTGTCGAATTAGATTTTTCAAGAATCGAACTTGTTCTATTCCATTTGACAAATCGAAAGGTGAATGAATGACATTTTATCTCGCCTACGCTGCTACGTCACCCGAATTGCCATGTTCACTATTGTTTCAGTCTGTTTACAATCATTTTAAAAGAAAACTTGGAATCAGCGCAGCCAAAGTTCAGCCAAAAATTAAGAAACAGAATTATTCATTGCTGAATTCTCATGTAGTTCATGGAGTCTTCCCTTTGGTGAAGCGCAACTCGTTCAAAAGTGCAAAGTATGTTCCAAAAACAGGACAGTGTTTCAGCCATATTTTTTCCAATTTTTGGACAATTTCGCCTTTTATTTTGTCGTCTTTTCAAAGCCAGTGCTATAACTATGGCAGCTGAAGCAACCTGCTTCTTCATTTTACAAAATTGAGGTGTTTGGCTGTTGTTTTTTCGACAAGATCTGATCGTGTAAAAGGGACATTCGATTCAACAAATCTGAAGCAAAACTAGATTCGACATAATGGAATTCGACGAAATCTGACCGTGTAAGAGCGGCTTTGGGATGAGGAATATCACACTTTGATTTATTGAGAAAGGTATAAAAATGGTGGGGTGATGTGATGATAACTTTATTCAAATGACACCCTTTGGGTTATGATTTCTCTCAACAGGATAAGGTACTGATCACCCACACCATTTGCTAGTCGACCATTCGGTATATAAAGCTTGATTTTCTGTTGATGATAAAGTTGCTAGTCTGACTAAGTAGTCGTATTTTGTACTGTTTTCAACTCAGATTTACCCAGATGGCATACGCCACATCCGATCGGATAAGAGGGTCAACGAGTGGAAGACCCCTGGAAAGAAGAGTATCATAAAATGTGCTGTAAACGAGAGACAGGTGAGAATCTTCTACAGCCCTGTTTTTATTCTATAAGAAACTGCTCAAACCCTCAAGTAGCTGATGTCATCTATAAATCTTTTGTCGTTTTGACGTTTTAAGATTTTCTTTTTCTTTTCTTGTTTAAATGACCAATTATTTTCTGATTTACTCATTTTCTTGACCGTAGATAGTTATAGCACTTACTGGTAATGAGCTGGTTTATTTTGAGTTGGATCAGGTGAGATCTTTTTCATTAATAATGATATTCCCCAATGCAACCCCAGTAGCCTTCCATTCTCAAGCCTTCCTTCCATGCTCAAGCCTTCCTTCCATGCTCAAGCCTTCCTTCCATGCTCAAGCCTTCCTTCCATGCTCAAGCCTTCCTTCCATGCTCAAGCCTTCCTTCCATGCTCAAACCTTCCATCCATGCTCAAACCTTCCATCCATGCTCAGAAGCCAACGAGTTGCCCAACATACATTTGCTGTTTTCCAGAGTTTCTTTAGCATGTTATCCTTTCGTTTTAGGCTGGCCAGTTAAATGAATACACTGAGAGGAAGGAAATGTCGGCTGACGTCGTGTGCATGGCCCTCGGTCCTGTTCCATCAGGAGAGCAGAGATGTCGATTTCTAGCAGTTGGCCTAAGTGATGACACCGTGCGCATTATATCGCTAGACCCAAATGTAAATTGCCATTCGATTTTTTGTTTTACAACTGGTTACTACTTTTTATATATACAGGAATTTCCAAGATATGGTTGCTTGTTCTGACTAAAATTTAATGCGATTTGTCTTTTGATCAATTAGTCATTTCTGATAAAGACTATAATCGACACGTTTTCTTGAAAGTCTTTGCTCTAAATGTATATATATGTTATTTTATTACATTTATCGATGCAGCTGATGGTAGTATGTATGTAACTTAAGGCCCCCGTCATATTTTAGACACGCAGTCGAAAAATCCACTCATTTTATCCACACACGAGTACGAAATATCTACTTGTTATTTTCTTTTTGAAAGGATTGTCTGCAGCCATTGAGTATGCAAGCTTTGCCTGCGACAGCTGAATCTCTCTGCATAGTCGAAATGGGTGGTGTTGAAACAGGGGATAAAGTCGTTGGTGGTGGACTTTTCCTCAACATTGGCCTAAATGTACGTTGCCATGTTTTGTTCTACATTTTGCCTTGTTTGTCCTTGACTTTGTTCCTGTGCATTTCTGTGCCTTTATGCATATTCGGCATATTCTGGCCACTGAACACTTATTATGCATTCTCTTTTGTAGAATGGTGTACTCTTGAGAACCGTTCTCGATTCAGTGACAGGAGATTTGTCAGACACAAGGACCAGGTGATGAAAATGTTGGTTGTACATTCATTGTTGTTTATGAGATCATTGTACATTTCACCTGCATGCTGTTTAGTCAAACAGAAATTATCAGGGTCCATCGGCGATCATGTCTAGTTTAAGTCTACCTCTATGGCCACACTTGCGCCGAGCAACATGATTTGTCGCAAAAACTGATTTCCAGGAAAACATTTTTCTGTGTATCTTCCTTTTGACGAATTTTTTTTAAAAGCAGAAAATATAATGTTTACGTTGCCCACTATTTAGCTGCATCAACTAAGGATAGGGAATATAGATAATCCGATTGTGATTTATTGAGAAAGGTAAAAAAAATGGTGGGGTGATGTGATGATAACTTTATTCAAATGACACCCTTTGGGTTGTGATTTCTCTCAACAGGATAAGGTACTGATCACCCCCACCATTTGCTAGTCGACCATTCGATATATAAAGCTTGATTTTCTGTTGATGATAAAGTTGCTAGTCGGGCCTGGTTCTTGACACATTTATATTTGGACTGAATCAATGGATTGACTCTCGTTTCAATTCATATTTGTATCATAATATTTTTATCTCAATCATGTCCATTCCACTGAAACTAAGCTTTATTTTTCAACATTGAAGGTACCTTGGATCCAGACCTGTCAAACTATTCAGTGTACGCACATATGGGTCAAGCTCGGTACGTAATAACTTGACTTTGCTATTTTTTACTTATGATGTTTTTTTCACTTTCAAAATCATGAAGATTTATTATGTTTCTGTGTTTTTACGAAATCAAAGGATTTTTAACGACTTGACACAAAGAAAATGACCACTAACTCAATTTTGATGCGTTTCTTGTCACTTTCAAGGAAATCATTATTTTTTGTGGCTTTTTCTTGGACGACGCTTATTCATTATCCTTTGCCGCGGACTGTTCCTCGTTCTACAATGTTTCTGTTAAATAAATAGTTTGTCAGGTATCCTGTAGAGTCTTGGGACCTCAGAACTGTCCTATAAGTTAAGGCAGCTATTTCCAATAAAAAAAGAGTATTAGCCTACTGAGAAATGACTTTTTTTTCTCTTGATACTTGGGTAAAAGCTATCTGAACATGACTGCAAAATATTGCCACGATCTGGGTTTTGTAAGACCCCCAAAACGGCTATTTAAATTTTAGCGGGAAATATGTATTCCCGATTTCTAGAGAGGCGTAGGGATATTTGGTGGCATCTTACAGTTGAATTGCTGGCGAGGGTCTCTCTTTGTAAGTTAGGGAATCATACTTTATTGTGCTGCCTGCGAATGCACCCAGACAGTAAGTGCTTCAGCACTGTCGGAGTGGAAAAATTTAACAAACTTAACCACAATTTTCCAAGGAATGCGGAAGGTAGGGATCGTAAAAGTAAAACGCGAAACAAGAGTTTGTTATCTTCATTAGCGGAAATTATTGTTATCCAGTTGTGGAAATGATGAAGGGCTAGGGCTTTCGCGCCGGAAAATTCAGGCTTTCGGTGGATATTTGACAAACGTTCAATGTCTTGTCTTGTCGGAAAATCGTAGGCCCGAGCCCAGCCAAATGGTCAAACAGGGAACGAGTGTAATCTCAAAAAGTGGCTGCCGTCTGAAATATGTATTCTCTTAGTAAATATCTTGAAGTGAGATGATAATGAAGGGATTTAACTGATGACTAAAGGAAAAATAATCACTTATGTCACTGTTATAGGGGGCGTGCGAGGTGGTAGTCGAATGTTTAATCAGTTAGCGGGTAGGCAATTCTACTTCTCTTTAGCTGAATGAAAAATCCTTTATGCAAAAATTGTCTATTCTTAGGCTTTACTATCTGCATACTGAAGCCGTAAGACGATAAAAACTAAGTAAAAACCAAAAATTGCTTAAGCAAACTTTCAAGCCCAGCTAAATTTCAATTGAAAAAGGATGAAGGACAGAGAGTAGAAAGCTGCAAATCATACATAAATCAAAACTCCTCTTTTTAAGGAGTAAAAAACTTCCCACCCAGTATCTTCATTCCCTTTGCTCTAACTTCATCCCGTTTTCCCAACTACTACGTCAATTTCCTTCCTCTGATGAATTTGTTGTTAAATTATTTTATTTGCTGCGTTTTCGGTTTTTAAAATTGTTTCAAAACTATAATGTACGACATCCCACAACAATATTCAGTGATAAAATCTATTTCTAAATTACTCATTTTAGCATAATAAATCAACTTTTTGCGCGGGAGTAGCGAAAAGCCTATGCATTTCAAGTGTAGGCCTGTCCCCGCTTGTCAACTTCTACGCCACGCGGCCACGTGATACTTTTGTAAATTTGCCTCCAGATGAAATTTTTATCGGAAAACTTTGATATACTTAATTTTGACCTATTTTCTACCGAATTCGGCAATGGAATGGCTGGGTAAAATAGGTGGCATAAATCCTTTAACCGAGCTATGCAAACTGCATATGCGACCTCGACTGTGGTGGTGCTATTTATCGTAGCCCAGAAAATAACATTTTATTGAAATAGCAATATTATCCAAACGAATTTTATCGAAAACAAGAGGCCATTCAGTATTGTTCTGCATATCCAGTAACAGGTGCATGGAAGGAAACATCCCCTGAAAGATTGTACGAAGAGCTAGGTTTGGAATCGCTGAGCCTACGGAGACGGAGTAAATGCATTGTTCTTTTTAACAGTATGACAAACGAATTACACGTGGCTATTCCAGAGATCCTGTCCTGCATTATCGAGAAGTGCAATACCCGTTACGCAGCCAGGGTGTGTATTGGCGAATGGAGGCGAGAATAGAAAAGTTTTGATCTACTTTGAACTTTAGTTCGCCCAACAATAAAATCGTTTTTCAACCTCCATGACCCTAGAACATTATTACGCCCCACACAACTTGGGGCTGCTCTAAATGCTTTAAGCTTTCACAAGTTTAAACATTTTCAGAGATATCATAAACCCAGTGCAAACTGCTCGAATTCAATGAGATGTTTCTTGTGATCCCGATATCTTCAGCCACCATCTTTTATATATCTTTCAACCCAATATAGCAGTCTTACTCAAAGGACAGTAGTTACACTGATAGGTAATTAGTATGTTGTTTTGTAGAAATTGTCCTGTTTTGTAGGTATTGGCAATGTCGAGCCGAACATGGCTCAGCTACACCTACCAATCGCGGTTCCACTTGACTCCTCTTTCCTACGAAATGCTCGAGTATGCCTCTGGCTTTATGTCGGAGCAGTGTCCCGAGGGCCTTGTTGCCATTGCTGCCAATACTTTGAGGTTTGTTGATAATTAACCTGTCATAGGCAGCCAGTTTGCCTCTTGAAATAGTTACGCAAGGCTACTGTCGTTTCAGTTATTTGTATTAATCCAAAGTTTTATTTTTACATGCAGTGTTCTTTCTGTTTTCTAGTAAGCCAATTAAGATTTGCAATGTACTAATTTATCACGCCGTTCTTCAACTGTTTAATAATTTTATTTGTTATTCAAGTTTTTGTTGAGGCTAGTTTTCCCTTTGATATACAATACAGATTTCTAAGCCTTGGATTTTCAATTCCTAGAATTTTGGCCCTAGAAAAGCTTGGTGCAGTTTTTAACCAGATCAGTACGCCCCTGAAGTACACTCCTCGAAAATTTGCGATTGATGCTGAAAGCAGTTCGTTGGTAATCATCGAGACGGACCATAATTCTTTGACAGAATCTGCAAAGCAGGACAGGAAGCAAAAAATAGCAGAGGTGGGTTTTAAAAATAGAATCAGTTGCGATTAGATGTTTCTTCTTGGCTTTCAACAATCGCAGTTATTTGATTTGTTTTCTGGGAGGTGGGATTATTTGAGTCAGTGATTTCGAGAGATCCCTGTGAGGTGGGATTATTTGAGTCAGTGATTTCGAGAGATCCCCATTGGAATCCATTATAAGAAAAACTGTTTTCTGTGAGGTGGGATTATTTGAGTCAGTGATTTCGAGAGATCCCCATTGGAATCCATCATAAGAAAACTGATCGTGCGTTCTCAGTTGATTAGACGTTGTTGCATCTCATTCGTGACTTCACTTCGCATCTTGTTTGAAGGAAATGGTCGAGGCTTGTGGAAACGACGCGGAGGCGCGTGAGGCAGAGGCACAGGTCGCTGCAAATTTCTTGAATCAAGATTTACCTGAAAACCAGTTCGGTGCACCGAGAGGAGGCTATGCCAAGTGGGCGTCGGTTATCCGGGTGGTCAATCCAATTAAGGTATGTTTAGTTAATTGCTCAGGGTATTTTTAGTTATTCATGTTCATGGTATCCTCAGTTTGGCAGGCATGAGTATGTATTTGTGCTCGGCTTCAAAGGATACCTAGAAAAATCATTTGCTTGAGAAAGATAGCAGTTATTTTTCGTAACTGTTGTTTGGTTTTGTAAATGACAATGTTTCTATATTGAAATGTCATGTGATTCCTCACTTTGCCATGTCAATTTTTAAGAAGTATTTGATTGGTTCTGTTGGCATGTAGACTTAATTTTGGGATATTGTTAGCAATTTGTGCTTTTCGTTGGCTGGCTGTAAGATAATTCATTCCTCTATCGTTTATAATTGTGGAAGCTTTATGTAATTTGGGAGCTTTATATTAACATTTCTATCACTCAGCTAAGAATATTAAGCTTGCGATTATGTTTTACGCAAATTACTTCATGTATATGCTCGATATAGGTCGATTAATCTCATTTTCCTCATTGACTAGGGTGATGTGTCGGAAGTGATTGAATTGGAACAAGACGAGGCTGCCTTCAGGTTTATCCACCTCTGCTTTTCCTAATCTTCATTTTCGTGGTTATTATATTAAGTGCGTATTGATTGCTGTCCGCTAAGGGTATAATGAATAACAGTTGAGCGCGTTTTTATAGCTATTTTATGTATTTCTTATGTATAGCCTTTGTTTTCTTTTGGCTTAAAATCTGACTTTGAACTTGGCTTAAAATTCAAGCGTTGCCGTTGTTCAATTCGCGGCTCGACCTGGAGAGACCTTCGTCGTCGTGGGAACTGCCAGTGGCATGGTGCTCAACCCGCACACCTGCAACCAGGGATATCTGTATACCTACAAAAGAACCGAAGATGAAACAGGAAATGTTAGGCTCCACTTTCTTCACAAGGTGCTGATTTACACGTTTAGATACTATCTTATTTGCTTGTATCTGATTTGCAATTTGCTCGTTGCCCGTGCTTGACAAGTTTGACTTTTAATCTTTGAGCTTTTTCAATCTTTTAATTTTTGATGTTGGGAGCTCAATAAAGAAACGAAAGGAGATTCAGATTGCGACATGCAGGTTTATTTTCGCGAAGGATATTAGCTTTTATGAAACATAGAAATAGATAGAACTGACTTTGGCTTGTCAGAAAGTTGAGTAGCTGACGAAGCCGAACAGATAACTGCCATGATACATATTGAAGCCGAGGTTAAAATTTACCTCCAACAACAAAATTTACCACTTGTTATTATTTCTTATTTTTATTTTGCAGACGTCGATCGACGATGTGCCAGGTGCAGTCTGCGCCTTCCAGGTTGGCTCTTCTTTCAAAATTTCTTGTTACAGTTTCACTCGCTGTTTTCTGCTAAACAAATGTGTCAAATTTCTCAGTATCGAATAAACGACTCATTCAGTGAGCATCCATGCACTACAAGGTTTTGACTTTCTTGATATATTTTTTCTAGGGAAGACTTCTTGTTAGTATCGGGCGCATCATTAGAATATACGACATTGGTAAAAAGAAGTTGCTGAGGAAATGCGAGAATAAGGTCAGTATATTTGAGACCATTTGTGGTTTAGTGTAGGAAGCAAGGCTATAGTTTTCTGACAAAGAAGCATTATAGGTAGTTCATCTAGCTGGAAGTTCTTCTGTCGAAATATGACATATATACACTTGGTGAGCAAAAGTATTGCACAGACTGAAACAGAAGTAGCGGCACATCAGCGAAAAATTTTAGCAAGCAAAATTCAACTGGCCATAGCAAGTTTCATACAAGTTATAAGATGAATTTTTAGTTGGAATATATTGGAAAATTTGTCAAGGTTTGATGGTGAAAATAGTAAATGCAAGAAGATTCTTTATTTTTTCCTATTCCTAAACAATATCGACATTTCGCAAAAATACAAAAGTTGAGCCATGAAGAACCTGTGAAACATTTGCAATAAGAAAATTCATCTTTGCACCAATTTGCGATATCTTATCACAATGAACTCGGGGGTACTTACTTTATGTTTGGGTGTCTAGGACTACTCATTTTCCTCGCTTTTTTGGAAAATATCTTAAACGTTTTGCTCGGAAATGTTTGGAGCTGCAGTGGGCATAATGACGGTGGCCTATTCGTGTTATATTGCAACAGAATTAAATCAATAAAATGTGTCACAAATCGTCAAGTCCATCTTTTCCAACCGATTGCGATGTTGTAATGGGAGCAAATAATTCTGCAAGCTGCGTAAAACAACATCTCGTCCTCTCATTAAATGAAAAGACCAAAATTCCCGCGAAAAACAGGTACACTCAAGTACCTCAATTGATGTTAAAGAGTAGGCATAATAAAATGGCGTAAAATATGCCACTTTCCGCCAAACACAAGGCCATTAATGGCCAACTTGGTACACAAACACTTGGTACACAAACAACTAAATATGATATTTATGTTTATCTGAACTTATCATGTCGCCATTAACAGAATCTGTTGCTAAACTTTTTGATTACGTTTTAGCAAGTCTTTCAAAGGTTACCGACTATCCAATAAAAGGTTAAAAATCTTTACTTTTTAAAAAGTAACTTTTTTCAATTTTTAAATTGAAAGTATAGCCAATGCTTTTTAACTATAAAAAGCTGCCTAATGGCTTCACAAAAGTGGTTTGAATTTCGATCGCTTTGTTATTTAAAAAGCGGTCGCCATTGCTGATCTGTCAAACTTGTACGTTACTTTTGCTCACTATGTGTATCGATTCCAACCAGGTGCAGTAATTTTACAATCGGGCAGCACCCTTGTCGAGATAATTTCCTCCTGTCAGTCTTGGTCATAAATGTATTTTGAATTTTTACCCGAACCCAATTGGTTTGCCTTTTCTTTCAGAGAATACCAAACTTCATCATCAACATTTCAGTGACAGGAAATCGCATTGTAGTCCACGACATACAAGAATCCTTTCACTTTCTTCGTTACAACCCAAAGGACAATAACCTGGTAATCTTTGCAGATGACACCAACCCAAGGTACAACCGCTCACTCACCCATTTCTGCCTCCATACATAAATCCATATGTTGGATTCAGGGCCGTATGTTGGCCAGTTCTAGGTCCTGAGTGCTTGCTTTAATGATGAGAGTTTATCATCCCAGATATTCTATGATGGGTGTATTAGCTCTATCTGAAATCATTGCACGACATTCTCCTTATTTGAAATTATCAGCTCAATGTCGAGTCTCACGTGATCATGCTACTAACTACCTCATTGTTAATTCCCTTGTAGATGGCTGACGTGTGGCTGCTCACTCGACTATGACACCTACGCAGGAGCTGACAAATTCGGCAACGTCTTTATTGTAAGCGAGCTATTTCTCTTCGCCTCCACAGCTGACAAGATTGCGTTTGCGATTACCTTTAAATTTATGAATAGCTGTCAATCTCTTTTGCTGTCAAGCTAAATCAATCTCTTGATGTGCGTAGAGAAATTTTGTTGCGAAGATCTTATCGTTTATGAATCCCAAACAAAATTGCCAGTTTTGAACTTTAAATTGCAAAAGCAATAATGATATTGTCAATCTCAAAAACACGATTAAAACTCAAAAGTACAAGACAATGCCTGTATTTTTTCCCATTAGATGTAATCAAATCTTGCCTTTACCATGCAGCCCTGAAATTGAAAATAGATCCTTAACAGTGTTCTGGTGGTCACCAGTAGTGGTACCAGCCTGGGATAAGTGGGGGGGGGGACAAAAGGTGTGTCGGGGACAACGCCCTTTTGGACCACGCCCTTTTCCCTGTTTGAAACCTTTTCTTCCGGAGGAAACACCTGTTGTCTCCCAAGAAATGTCATTTACATGTGACGATCTAGATAACGTACATACCCCTCTTCCCCCCTCTCCCCCACCTCCTGAAGTTGTCTCGTCAGGTTTGCAAGAATCTCAAGTAAGAGGGACCAATTTCTGAAAAAGTAAGGGGGACTAGTCAACCCCCCTATTCCCCCCGTGGCTCCGCCACTGGTGGTCACTGGTAAGGAATGGTCGTGCATACCACGGCATTTGTCCTTGGAATACTTAAAACTATCTGCCATTCTTAGAGATGCCTGCTCTACCTCTCTGTTTTGGTGCGGTGTTCATAATGGGCCAACTGCATTTGCATATCATGTTAGGGAAAATTCCAATCTCAAAATATCTCGGAGTTTTCATTTTTAGGGATTTCATTTTTAAGAGGTTGCCATGAGGGTGGTAAGAGGTTGCCATGAGGGTGATTAAATTTGGCAAGGTCTTTTTTAACAAAAAAATTTAAGCCAGTTGTTGAATAAACTTTTGGCATGGTGACCATTGAAAATAATCGTTTCGGCACAGGTAATCTAACCTAGTGTCATAAAGTCGGCTTTTACGAGGGGAGTGCGGAGAATTGACTTACGTTTAAGGGTTGTAATGTATATCTGATATGTTTCTGTGTTGTTTTGCAGGTCCGACTGCCTCCCGACGCAAGGGATGACGTAGAAGAAGACCCTACCGGTGTCAAGGCACTTTGGGACCGTGGTCTACTGAATGGTGCTTCGCAGAAGGTAACTTCGCAGCACTAATTCTTGTTATCAGGTGTACGCTTGTCATTTAATGACAGATACTTTGATTCGCTGTTGACAAACGAACACTCAAGTCCTTCATTTTATTTCCTCTGTTTTTAGGTTGAAACTTTGGCCAATTATCATGTGGGTGAATCAATTTTGTCACTGCAGAAGGCAACATTGATTCCTGGTGGATCTGAGTCACTTGTGTACACGACGCTTGCAGGTGGAATCGCCATGTTGGTGCCGTTCACATCTCGCGAGGTTATATATCAACTGTTGAGTTTCTTGTCTCTTTGGCGGGCTTGTGCATGTTTCTGATTACCTAATTAGTTTTTGTTAGATTTGCGAATTGATCATATCCATTATCATTTTTTGAAAATATCGGTGGTGACACTGCTTTATTGATTGTTATTGCCGTCCATGGCCTAATGGCGTTCTACGGGCTGCTGACATCAATAATTACAGGTCATTGAAATACATTAAAGTGGTTATGACTTTGTCAGGAAGCTGTTTGACTGAGATTATGCGATGGGACTGTGCGAACAGCAAAATCATAAACTTGATAAATTCTTTCGTTAGGCTAGTTATTCAAAGCTTTGTAACAGCCCCAGACTATATCTGATTTATCAACAACTTCCATCAATCGGTATGAAACTGAAATGCCTTGCCAGGCCTAATCTTAATGTTGATTGAACCAACAGTGTTACTCTGCCTCCGATTATTTAATTATCAATTAGCCACTTCTCGATATCTGAACAAAGTTTGTGAAGAATGAAAAGTAGTTTGAGAAGATCTTTTCTAATGTAGCGGTATTTTACGTCCTGACTATGAAATGGTCACAGTGAGTAGAAAGAAGAAGCAGTTGTGGAAAATTAAAGCTTAACTAGCAACTGGGATATGACGTATCACAAAACGGATACATCATAATAACAGTTGTTTTGTATTATGGTGTACGTGTAAATTAAATGAATTTGTTCTTCCAGGATATCGACTTTTTCCAGCACTTGGAAATGCATATGCGACAGGAGTACCAGCCTTTGTGCGGAAGGGACCACCTGTGGTTTCGATCAAGTTACTTCCCCGTAAAGGTATCATGTATTTCTTTTTGCCGTAACTTTCACCTATTTTCTCGGGCTTCCAGTTTTACAAGGGGCATCGAATCCGTTCAATGACTTCAATTGTTATAGAAAGCAGGCTAGCCAGTCATAAGTTAACTGGAATTGAAAATGAAAAGTTTCTGTTTTGTATCATTATAATTGTAAACCCTGTCTAGCAAACTACTCATTTAGTATGAGGGTTTGCGATTTAAATCGAGTGGATATGAATTAACATTGCTTTTGTTTTATAGAACGTTATCGATGGTGATCTTTGTGAGCAATTCAATTCAATGGAATATAGTAAAAGAAAGACGATTGCAGACGAGATGGACCGCACCCCCGCAGAGGTCCACTATCTTTTCGTTTGAATTTTTCATTTCGACTTTTGCCAACATCATCATTATCTAGCTTTCAAGGCCTTTTAAAAATTGCGATCATCTTTCACTTAGGGTCATCAGACTAATTGTAATTGCTGTTTTTTGCAGGTTTCCAAAAAGCTTGAAGACATCAGAACGCGATTTGCGTTTTAAAGTCCCCAAGACTTGAAAGGTTCAAGGGCTGAATGTTGGACCGACAACAATTTGGCTGATATTGGTCATTTTGGATGGAACCCGAGACACGGAGGTTTCAAGCAATTGACATGCGGTTGTAAAAGGAGTGGTGTATTTAAAAAATGCATTGTGGCGATGTCACAGTATTAAACAATCACTCCAGAGGCTCAAACATGGACTATTTCATATGAACGCAGAGTTGTTAAAATTCCTTTGGTAGCCCGTGCCTATGCTCAAGCTGTAATTAATGCCAAATTGGTGGGCCAATTGTCACAAGACAACTGACGCTAAGAGAGGGAAGGCCTCTGCATTGCATTAGATCAATTCACTCAGTAACATTTGATTGATATGTATAAAGTAGGCTTTGTATTTGTATAAACTGAAATTCGGCTAGACTAGTTGTTTTTATGCAGACCGCCTTAGTTGTAGACCGTGACAACAGTTAACAACTCGATTGGTATGTTTCGCACTGACTTGTGCAAGTTTGGAATCATGATAAAACTGTTGAGGTCCAACGTTTCGTTTGCACCAACATTGTGGAACCAAGAGGATTTTGTCAATTTTGCACCATTACTATACCACCATAATTTTATGGGACGGGACGTGTAAACGCTTGCCCGAGGCGGTTTTGTTACGAATCGCAGCGAGATCGTAAGTGAGTGTTGCAGACAATGAAGGAAGTGGCTTTGACGTAATTTTGCATGCTTGAAAAGTTGTCCACTGCTTTTCAGTTGATAACGCTTTTCAGAATGCCCTTATACCGTTTTCTGTTCTTTCAGCGTTCGAGCCCTTGACTGGGCATGACGACTTCGTAGGTTTCTTGATAAAACTTCATAGCAAAAATAACTTCATCAGTCCAATTTAAACTCTCAATGGTTTTTTCTTTATTTTTGCTTCCTCAAAAATTGCGAATAATGATTTTTGCAGCAAATTTAAAGCAAGATTTTTTAAAATCTAGCCGCTTGTAGCCCTGCTCCCAGTTCGCCCCGTACAATGTAAACCGATCCCCTAAGCAGAAAAATTTGGAACAGTGCCAGTCTAAAAACTTATTCGCGAACTGTAATGGTACAAAGTAGCATATGAGCACTAAGTTTCAGCATACTTTAATTATAAATCCTTTTTTGATTCTACAGTTCTGTATCGCTTCCCATATTGCTTGCTTTTCACTCGGTAAAATCCAAGCTAACGTAGATTATTTCTACACACAAAAGGAAGCTTTAGATTTCACAAGAATTTGATTGTTTATAGAAATCCAAAGCTTTCTTCAAAGTCTTTTTACATTTGTCCTTGGCACTAGGAAGACAGAATAGACTATGTTTTCCTTATCCAATATCTCGGATTGTTTCATACAAGTTTGGTGTTATCCTGGAATTGACAAAAGTTAAGGAATCAAATCCTTTTTTGTGTATCATCTGGATTAAGGAGAATCTACCATGATGCACCAGCTTTGATTTTTACTGTGTGTCTACAGATAACCTCTATGTCAAATGTTTACGCTTTTTGTGCAAACTTGACAAAGGGAAACCCGAGGATTTTGAAAAATCCACAGACAATGCATTGCTCCACTTTTTCTACCATGTTGTTTTTTACTGTAATCAGCAAAACGTGCATATTTAAAAAATTTGAGATAAAGATTCTTATATAATCCTTATTGTGCAATATTTAGTTATAATGTTCTCGAACAGGTGTTTATTTGATAAGCACTTTATGTTTGTTGTATAATACACAATATGATATAACATAAAGCAACACTGTTACCTTCTTTCATAATTTATTTAATGATTCTAAAAGTCTTGCGTAGGCAGTAGGTTTTGGTTTAATGTAAATAAAACTCTGTTTCAAGGATAAGAAAACGAAACACGATTTTACAATAGGAAAATCAATTTGGGGAAAAAATCCTTGTTCGTCGCGCGAAACTTTGCATATGTGCATTTCTTTTGAAAGGAAACGAACTCGTTAGCTCTTTGGCTAAAGAATGGTGATACTAAAGAAAAAGAAAAATCACCTGAACGTTTTTTCAGCTACAGATATAGCAACTCACATATAGCACCAGCTAAAGGAACTCAAGAAAAAAGGACGAAAAAGAAAAGATGGAGGATGGCTTCAAAATTGATGTATCGATTCATAGCCAGACTGGGTACTTGTTTGGGAAGGTAGGTCGAACATTTGCCGTTGCCCATTGTTTTTATTAACTTAAAATCAATCAAACTGGAAAATGAGAAGTCTAATCGTGCATTAGATTTGCCTTAGGTTATTATTTGAAGTAAAACTATTTCCCTATCTTTTGGCTTACTAAGATGGCTATCTAAAGACCTTTTTTCTACCAATCACTTGACTTTCGGTGTATTCTAATTCATAAACCTGCGATTTTTTCATATGTGGATTACTGTCGAGAAATGAAACACGTTCTGATTGCGAAACCAACCATTCATTGTGTAAGAAGATGATTCGACGCAGCTGCCGGTCTGATGTTAAAAACCACGTGATACTTTGATGCATGACATTCTGTAATAAGTTAAAGTTTCGCATTCATATATGCATAGGCTTTTGCAGAATGTTGTCATCGTTGAGTACTGAAGGACTTTGCCGCTTGGAAGGCTTGTTATACTAGGAGATTATTCTGCTTAGGTTACACAAAGTTGAGTCAGACTTCAAACTAGCCGTTTAAGATGAAGTGCTAAGGCTATCTAGTGGAAGATTAATAATGCACAAACCGGGCAGATGGAAAAGAAAACGGACCAAGCATTATAATCATTTTGGGAGTTTCATGCTCGAAACCAAGGTTTTTATTCGTGCCGAGAACAGCTGAACGGAAATATTGCTTCAAAGAACTTATAAAGCAGTTGTATTATCTTTGACTAACTCTTCAATACAACATGAGTTTTGTTGACAAACTGAATATCCAGCTGTCGCCCAATTAGTTCCCGCACAAACACATTGATCAAAACCTTTCTTTGACACGCCACAATATTGCGTATCTACTTGACAAGCACAGAAGAATCAAAAAATGAATAATTTATTAACAGTCGAGTAAATTGATAGCTAGCTACCTTCTCGACTCTTTTGTTACCGTAGCAAAACAGGTGCAGAAAATGACTTTTCGGCCTCCTAAAAGTTTGTTTGTCAAGAATATGACACCGAAGCAGTGGCGTAGCGTCTATGTATGCTACGCTTGCGGCGCAAGCGTAAAAATTTATAGACAAATTCTAAAATTCTTGCAACACTTTCAATGCATAACAATTTCCGCAATAAACGGCTTCTCTTTCATGTCATGAGCAGCATGCAGTGAACTCTAGCGCCAACAGGCCAATTGGCCCCAAATTGGCTATTTTTCCAAGTAAACAGATCGCTAAAAATTATGAAATTCTAAAAATCTGAAAAACTGAAGCCCCTCCACATCACTCTTTTTGCCTGTCCAAAATAAGAGAAACATGTGATACTCCAGTGCAGCTTCAGTACAACTCGAGAGGAGCTTCTGAGAGAAGTGAGAATTTTCCGGACTGGAGCTTGCGGTCGGCCTGAGCGCAAGCCTTCCCAAATATTTGATAATCCACAACATTTTTCTACCTATAAGCTGCTTTTTGCGAATACTCTTTGCGTGATACATCATTTCAAATCCAATTATTTTCCTTTCTTTACTTTGTGACTGTTGAAAAGAGAAAAAGTTTCGTCAATGTGGGGTCAGAGTCTATTTGTCATGATCCGCATTCCGTAATTCAAGTCAAAAGGCTTGCCAGTATAGTCAGAATTTACGGACCAGGGCATGCGGTAGACCTGAGCGCAAGCCTTGCTAAATACATGATGATTTGCCGGGACTAACTTTCTGCAACTTTACACATGGAAGCATCTTCAATTCTAACAACTCTCACAGCTCACTATTTTCATCTTAGTTAACTATGAGAGTAAAAAATGAGCAGAAACTGTTGCTCCTGTTCGCTTAGGCTCTGCAGTGTGTTAACAATTTCGCAATGTGGAGAGCTCCTTCTTGCGGGAATCCCCAGCTTCATTATAGCATAAAAAATTCTTACATTAGGTGGGCATTAGGTGATGCCTTTTCTTGAGGAATATGAATAAGAATAAAATCTTTTGCAAAGCAGTTTTAGCACTAGGAGTTATTCTGAAAATTCTTGCTAAACAATTGAGCCTTTTTCAAAAACTTTCGCATGGATGATAATTTTTCCCTTGGCCCCCCTTCATTTTCCAACCTCTGTCGGAGCCTCTGATGCAAAGAATAGACACCTTGATTGATTAGAATTAGAGTACAAATGATTTGTTACTTTGAAAATCAAAATTTGCTATCACGATTATCATTAATTACCGCTTGTATTTTTTAGAAACTGAAATTACCATTACATTTATTCAACATAGCCGTATATTTTATGTTACCGCATGCCTAAGTTCTGCGCTCACGCTACGCCACTGCACCGAAGGCCCATTCAATGTTGTCGCAAAGAACACAGACCCTCTCCATCATACCTTTATGAGAATCAGCTCTGGAACAAAATCAGAAAAGGGTCCAGTCCTGAATTCTGTCTCTTAATTTGACGGCCAGCAAAAGCGGCGTTAGTGGAAGCCATATTGTATTTTGCTTGGATGTTTTGAAGGACATGTATTTCTAAAAAGTCACGCATACTTTTGCCGCATAGAAGCGCATGGTGTTGTTGAAAGGTAGAAATAGAATAAGATTCATCTCGATATAAACCTTAATCACTCTAGGCGATCGGGTCGATCTTGAATTTTCTTTAAAACCTTAAAAAGTGTAAGGATGGGTTGTGGTCATTAAGTTTGCATAATAATGCTACAAAATCCCATTTATTTTTGAAGCAGATGCAAGAATTTTTCAGCTAATCTCGAGTATCTATTGGCCATAGAAAGTCGTGACGAAAAGGAAACTCGCCCAATGCTGACTCATTTTGTCCTAAAAACGAATTTGCAAGTGAAGATCTCATTAAGGCTTCATTAATCAAAAAAGATCAAGCACTTCAATGGTTTGTAATATCTTCAATGAAAATTGTGCTTTGAAATTATAGCAAAATTTTGCCGTAAAAGTTACTGATAGGTTGTTTGATTCCAGATTGATAGGTTACAGATATTTGATTCCCAACGTTTAAAATGTATTCTAAAATTGCAAGGTTTTCGATGTCTCTAGCATTGTCTAATTTGCTTTCCCAGTAGCAAATTAATTAATTGCAAATGCATATTTATTAATAATCAATGTTGTTCAACGTGTTGTACAGTCGATGAATTATGCGCAACTATGATAGAGAAAACAAAACCTGATGAAAAGTAATGCTAGAAACGTCGAAATTATGTTTCTTTCAAATATACAAAGTCGTCACATATATATATATATAGACACCAGCCTATTCATCAAAATATGGTGCTCCGTCTAAGCATAGGTCCTCCGTGCCATCAGACTGCAATTTGAAGCAAAGGTAGCTGATAATCCTGGAAATTTTACGATATTTCCTGGTTTTATCTCAAACGCCTAATAATCTGCTAGAATGCTGCGAGGGTCGCGAAAATAAGACATCTGAAGCCGCCATTTTGAATTCAATGTTTTGCTGTTCGACAACGTCGAAACACAACAGAAACAATAGGTAGCCAGTCATTTACTGGCTGTTGTACAAATCTCTTGCAAATATCAGAGGCGGATCCAGAGTAATTCCTTTGTGCACAGAACTCAGTCAGTTTTCCAACCTATAGCTAAAAATAGTGTTGCCTGAAACAAGTAATATCTAAATTAAAAAACTGAAACCTAAAAATTCTTAGTTTTATCACAGTCTCTACAAAATCTTAAAATTGCCAGTTTCTTCTCTGTCGTGATTTGAAAACGATTTTCCAGACGCTGTGGAGGACAACAGCAGTCGATCCTAGAACTCGGAAATAAACGTTTTGTGCCTCGGAAGTGAATGAATTGAATAAACTTTTTGTTTGGAACACGGATGGAACTCAGTCAAAACAGCATCTGGAACTTATAAAAGCTCTTTACGACCCTCTTTACACGGGATCGATCCAGGCTGGGACGGATTGGCTTTCCGTTTACACGGGATCGAACCGCTATCCGTGCTAATTTGGGTTCGCTTTGGAAAGCGTTTCAGTTTAGGATCGATGGGATCAATACCAAATTAGCACGGATAGGAAACGAGCCTTATAAATTATCCAACTGGAGGTGCTTTAAAATGATGCTTTGAGCTTTTTTCTATCAGATTTTGCGCGCTTTTTCGTTTCTCGCCCACCAGAAGAAAAAAACAAAACAATATGGAGGAATATTTTACAACTTTATTAACAAATTTAGCGAACAGGCTTCAACTTATGGGAATGATTTATTCTCGACATAGATTGAGGCAGCGTCGCCTGTTGGAAACCCTTCACCCTCTTCTTTTTCATTTGGGTAGGCCGCTATAAAGTTTTTATAGATGTCCTCATACTTAGAACGAATAGGCTCCCAGTCCTGGCCATCGTCTAACTTCGAAGTTTTGTACTCCAGCGTGATCTTCAGGAGTAGGGCCGTTTATTTGTCGCTCCAAATAAACATTTTTGTTACCACTTTACGAATTAGAAGCCATTTTATTGTCAATCTTCCTACAAATTTGTCGCTGCTATCAACGCTTTTTTCTTTAAGTTGCTAAAGACATATGCAATACGCATGTGCGTTCCTCCCTACGGGCCGAACTGGGATCGATCCCGTGTAAACGCGAACGAAATTTACGGATCGATCCCGTTTCTCCCGTGTAAACGGGGTCTACATCTAAATGACAAATTAGAGCTTTTTACGCAAACAGTGGAAAAAAGGAAAATTAATTAATTAACAACAACAACAAGTAACAGTACAAGCATGGTTTAGCGACAACTATTAAAATTTATGTAAATTTAGCCAAAGCAAACAAGGAAAGAGAAGCAACAACTGCAAAAAAGAACTTAATCTGCTTCGCAGGAGGTGACCTGCATTTGTTTTTGGTACCTAAAAATTTATTATATAAGTTTTGCAATATTGGCCCAGAGTCTTTTATTGTTGCCTGTCTTGGTCATCAATATTTGATGTTTCAGGATAGACGGGTATTTAACAAAATATGAATATATCATTTCATATATATCTTAATATATCATATATATTACATATCATACAAAATTGGAACATCCATGATTTCGT